ACTGGTTAATATCAGGGGTGGCATGTTAGTGTCGAACCGAGGTGTTGGCATATCAAATTTTGACAGGTTGCAGCTCTAACAAGCCTTTCAGAGTGCTAACTAGACAGTTAGTACTTATTTTTGGGGTTTTGTGATTAACCTTTGCCAAGAATTTTTTGTTTTTTAAATAATTTGGTTGAATTTTACATTCTTTCAGTTTCAAACTTTATTTTTTGAGTGTCGCCAAAAGAATTGTCAAATATTTAGGTATTTGAAACAGAAAAATGTCACCACAAATTACTGTAAAATTTATGGATATTATAATTTTAATCCGATTATACGAGTATACTAAAGGGTCAAATATTCTAGGTTTAGGAGAATTATCCCAGCTTAACAATTCAAGACCTGAATAGTAAAGCCACTTGTGTGTTCTCACAAATCTTTAGAAATTTTTAAACTTTCAAAAACCAAAACCACAATATTTTGATAATTTTTTAGCTTCTTTTGTCGAAAATTTCCTATTCAATTCAAAATGTTTAATTCGTTGTAGTTTTGATAATTAAATTGATTCTCTTGCGTGGTTGGAGCTCTTTGACTAAAATTCTATGCGCTTCTGGTCTGTGGCTTCTGTGGAATCATCAAAACGCGAGTCTAACATTAAAAGATTTGTTTTTATTGTGGTGTATTATGCCGCTCTGCTGGATGGATTTCGGGTGGAAATTTCGGTGTCATATGGGCGCGTATGTTCATCAGCCTCCGTCAGGCCATCAGTCGGAACCTCTGGTTCCTGTTTGAACGCAGGCTATCATTAGCCATTGATCGCACGCCAAGCCACACGTCTGCAAAATTTAAGCGTGTGCAACTGACTTTCAGCTTGTCCATTCGTCAAAATCCTCTAGTAAATAACAACTACGTATATTTACCAACATCCAAATGTTGTCTTTTGAAATTTCTAAAATTTCGCTGAGTGAATACAAAATTTTTGCAAAATTTGTCAAATTATTGAATACATTGCATTGGTACGTGCTTTAATTTGGTGAAAATGTTGAAGGAGCTGTATAACGACAGGGCACATATGACGGCGACCACCTGTGCCCCCCTTCCCGCCCCAAAGCGCGCGTGCCGCACAGGTGGTAGGCGCGCCACCCTCGCCAAACAATTTCGTCCGTGCCACAAACTTCAAACTGGGTCACTTTAACGACTGCGCATACTCATATACTCAATGTACTTCAAAACCAACCCCCGTATCCAAACGACATTCGATTGGTCTCGTGTTATCCATGTCAACCCCGAAAACTGAATTAAACTCAACACTAAATCAATTCGTGATACTTTAATCGACGCCAAACAATAAAACTTGAATGAATATTCAAGAGCTTCAAGCATATTATGTTAAATGTATAAGAAAAAAAAAGTCATGATAGCATGATGATGACATCAATAAATTTTGAATGTTTATATTCATGGACCAGCAGGCAAAGCAAAGCACGAGAGGTTTTTTTGTGGAAGAGGTGGGAAATTTTTTCGGTCACATATGGTTTATACACAGCGCTGGGGGAGTGTAGAGGGTTTGTTATTACTTATTACGTCCTTCTTCCGGAAGAGGTGCCTGCCGACAGAGGAAGACAACCGAACAAAAGCGCCGAACGGGTTAACTTTAGAATCTTCATTCAAAACTCTTGAGATGTTAAAAAAAAGGTTGGGTATCTTTGTTGTCTCGTTAACAAATCGACTTTCAGACCTTCCAGAATAATTTAATACCAAAATAATTGTTGGATAGGTCGAGAATGAAGAAAAAATTAATGCGGAACTAAAAGCTTAATTTTTACCCAGATATTGATTTTTTAGATTAATTTTAAAAATTTTCAACGGCTTGTTAGTATTTAATAAGTTTTGTAAGAAGTATTGATTGAAATTTATAAAATATCGATGATGATTAGTCAACGTTTCCCATGTTAACTCTTTCCACCTAATCAATCATACTTTATGGTTAAAAGCAACCCTTAAAAAAACTACCACCATCCACCGTCATATTTTTAAACACTTATCTCAAGTAGTTTTCATTGCGATGGATTGTTTGGACAATATTTAAACGCAAATAGGGTGCAAAACAATGAGAGGGTGAAAATGTCACGTGCGGCTCAACAAGCGGATAATTGTCGGTAATGGATATTGGGATTTTATTCATTGAGGGGCCCGACGCTCACTCGCCACAGAATAATGCATGTGTACGCACTCAATGAAGAACAAGTATGGTTTTGTTGGGGTTACATAAAATCTCATTCATTCAAGAGGTGCCCAAGATACTTTGCGCCTGCTAGTTCCATCAGCATTATATAAACGTAAAACAATGAATGGATCTAAATATACTACAATGGATCCACTGTATGATAACTAGTAAACTATTATCGCATCATAAAACACCCTACAACGTAGAATACTGGTTTTTAAATTGCGGTTAACGATCAAATGAAAAAAGCGTGTGAAATTTTTTTGTAGGTTTTGAAAAATTGCAAAAATTATTCGACAATTATTCAAAATCAAATGTTGGTGTTTTATACGTGTGTACACCATAGGATGATCTGATGATAGTGATGTTATTGTGCGTTTGTTTCCGGTTTCCGCGTCGTGACAGGTGTAAAGCGGGCGCGTGCATCTTCTATTCGTTTTCATTCCCGACCGAAGCTAAACCGCGGCGCGGAGGCAATGTAGTCGAAGCTTTCTTTTCAATGTGTATAAACACATGCATCGCATGCATGACTGTACACAGTGGCACGAGTCAAAATAATACACGTGTAAAGCACTTCTAATGATTGTAATTTAATCCGAAAAGAAAAAAATATCACCGATTGTTTGTATGTTCATGCAAAACAAGAGAAAATGTGTTTTAAAATGCGAAATTTTGCTGTCGTCATCTAGTTACCAGTATTACTTGAACAAACATCATTTGGAAAATTAGAGGGGATAATGGTATATTTGTTTATCCTTCTGGTGGGTCCAGAAACAAAGCGTGAAATGCATGTTTCTAATGACAAGCCCGATGAGCCGCTGCCGGTGTCGGCGTAACAAAAAGCCCAATTTGCAAATTTGCGGATGCATGCCGATGATGAAAAGCGAGCCGACGCAAACACTGGTCGCGTTTGGTCAGTTGCGCTAACTACCAGGTAACTAACGCTAAGTACATGATTGGAGCTGTCATCGGCGACGCGCCAGGAAGCCCTCCATCGGCGACACGAAACGCTTGCGCCCTCACCACTCTGGGTGGTTATAACGACGTCGCATTTGTGGTTGATTAGCCAACTAGACGATTTGCGTGCCTCGTGCTATCATTACTCATCTTTTTGAAGTTCACATTTCACCGGCGTAAGTTTATAGCCTCTACTGTTCCTACTGTTTTTGGCTATAGCGTTAAATTTTAAAATTTATTGTCTTGCGGTAGTCGAGAGCGTTGTGTGTGGGCCCCGTGCTAATTTTAACAAGCGGCAATAGGTATCAAATTAGCCGAAAATTGTGTTATTATAATCCGTTTTTTCCATTTCTTTGATTATTTTTACTCATTTTGTGCACACGATCAAAACATTGCTTATGTGACTGCTAGTTAACCAATTACCAAAAACCACATAACGAGCTTAAACGCAGAATCAAACAAAAACTAAAAACCACGAAAAAACAACGAGCGGATATTGTTAACATACTGAAAAATGTTTTCGGGAAAATTTCGGTTTATTCAATTCAATCGCAGGGATTGCGTGACCCGAAATTGCAATTGGCTCAGTTCTCGTGTGACTCTTGTCTTGTGAGCGCACACCGACGACCGGATATTGGTGAAATTGAACGCGTAAAAAAAGCAAAGCGCAAAGGCGACCGAAACACTTTGCCTCCATGCATCAATCATTTTCTCATGGTTTGCCTACCTGTGATTTTTTTCTTTTTGCTACACTATACTATCTTGACGGCGCGGGCGCGCTCTTAATAAGTTTAATTTAAAGGGCAGTTTAGTGTTCTTTACTCACCCATACAGGCAGCTCAAAATTTCAGCCGAAAACCAGCTTCCAAATTAATGCAGCAAATCCAAAAAATGAACTTTCGGTGACGTGCAGTATACGGTGGAGTTTTCTGAAACAAATAGTGGGAACTTATAACCAACACGTTTTTAATTATTTCGGAAACACCGTAATCGATCAGACAGATCAGGCACAGGAAGTCATTTCGTAACTTGTTACATTTTTACACCCACTAAAAGGACGATTAAACAGAGGAGTTAACAAGATTGAACAAGCAGCAAAAAATGACAAAATTCAAAGTCATACTGCAAGTGATTCCCAAAAATAGCTGGCGGAAATTGGAAACGGTTTAATTTGTGTTTAAGTTTTTTGCAACAAAATATTAATCAGATAAAATTTAAATAGAGTGTAATATTTAATTTTATCCACGTGTTCGATGTATTTTTTGTAATTTCTCGTTGGTTCCACAACGTATGTCTAATTTGTTCACGTGTTCCGCTTATTTTTTCTTGCGTTTTGTTCTGGCGAGAGTGTGTGTTTAATGGCATGTAATTTTGGACATATGGCGCTCTCCTCCGACACACACGTGAAGATACAATGTAGAATAACGAACTTTTTTCAAAATTAAAATTAATGATTTTTACAGTAAAAGTCAATGAAATAAACAAATAATCAACTGAATAATTAAATTTTTGTCAGTTTTGGTATTTTTTGATACAATTATTGACATAATTTTATTAATTAAGCCCACATTCCCATTTGATTACCTATACATTGTTTGTAGAAGTATAGGTAGAGGGTAAAACCATTCCAAGCTCTCATTGGTTCGCATACACTTTAAGGGTAGTTTTCAGGTGGGGGAGCGCATCGCCTTCTTCCGGCTGTGCGTATAAAAGCCACCGACTCTTTCAGGGTTTCATCATTAACCGGTCGAACTCACCGTGTGCAAAACCAAACCACTACCACGCAAAGTAAAGCGTAAAAAAGTTTAAAAAGTGCCGACCAGAGTGTAAAACCATGAATTTCGAAAACTACGACATGGAAAACATCGCCAGCTACAACGCGAACCAATACAGCTGCTATAACTACATGTACGTAAACAATAGTCCACCACTAAGTGATGGAGGTAACACCACCACAGATTGGAACTGCAACATCTCCACCGGTAGTTACGATAGTGTGGAAGATCGCAGCTCGAGTCCCGAATCAATTGCTACTAATGGATCTACAGGGGCCACTTTCGATGGAATTGTACAACCTCAAGAGAAGAGTTTGCGGGTCACTCCACAGATTATGCGAAAGAGGAGGTTGGCGGCCAACGCTAGGGAGCGAAGACGCATGCAGAATTTAAATAACGCCTTCGATCGTTTGAGGAATTATCTGCCGCAACTTGGACAGGACCGGCAACTGTCAAAATACGAGACGCTTCAAATGGCTCAGACTTATATCAATGCTTTGTACGATTTATTAGATGAAAACGCGCAGTAAATTAGAAAATGTTGTAAAAATGTATATTGTATAAATTTTATGTCCTATAGATTAAAATATGACTGAGAAATTAATAATAAATGTTATTGAAATTATTTTGCACAAATTATTTTACGAATTTAAATTTTGACCTACCACAACTTATAAATTATTATATACCAACTCTGATTCTCTTCGTTTTCTTATTTATCTTTAACAATAGAAAAGGATACCAAAAATAATATACACCCCATGATGTCATTAGTACTACCGTAACCTGTGTCCAACCAAGAGGGTCATCACTCATTTTTAGCCACACTTTGCCTCAAATTCAAAAAATAAAAAAACTTCCACAGATCTTTAAACCAACGGAATGTTGACCCACAACGCACCTCATAAATTATTCATGAAAATATTAGCTAATAAATGCGCTGCTGTTAAGACAACATCAACCTGAAGACTCTATTATTAATTTCGAAACAGTAAGAATTAAAAACTGTACAAACGATTAGCAACATTCAACTTTCTCCTAATGGCAGTAATCAACCATTCGAAAATTCGCGCGGTGCAAAATATAAAACAATTTTAAAACCCGAGGGAGTTGCAACACACCCCCGATTTAGGGGTTTTTAATTACCCACCCCGCGTCAGTCAACGGAACGGGGTGGAACTCGTAAAGTAGGATTTTTATAAGGAATCGGTGGGCGATATCGAAACGAATTCACAAGAAGGAAGCCGCACTTTTTGATAGATCGCATTTTAAGGCAGATTTTCTTTTGGGGGATGAGAAACATGATATAAGACTAGACTAGGGTTGTGATGTGCAAAGAACAACCGCATATTATCAAGTCATGACATTCAAGATTGTTAAAAAACGAAAGGAGCTTGTTAGCGTTTTGTTTGACGAATAAAAGTGCACGTGCTCATCGATTGTCAAATAATTACTAGGTTGTGTGAATTGTATCAGAATTAGACAATATGATAAAATGGTAAAATGGCAAGGGGGATGTACAATATTTAAAGCCTTTTAATCTAATTGTTAGGTTTCAAAATATCAAAAAAAATAGAAAAAAATTTAAAAATAATTTTTTTTTTATATTGTTTGTAAGAAAAAATATAAAAAATTGTTTACGCTTGAACAATTAATTAATTTGAAATGAAATTGCTTTGCACGCTTCATCAATCGAATGCTAGAAACTAGAGAAAAGCGCGGATATGCGGTAGGTTATCATCAACTAATACACATCATTCCTTTGAGTTGAATTAATAGTGGAAGAAGGCAAATTGCGCAACGACACCCGCTGCCATCGGGCTTTATGTCCGATCGTGCCGAATGTGGCGAAATTTGCGGCACCTTTTGTCATTGGCGTAGCGCTCCACTGCACCGCGGCGATCTTCTTCGGGGGTAGACTGCACGACTCCTATTCAAAACAGTCCCCCTGCAGGGCGCGCCACGCCGCTTTTTGGCATTTTGTTTAATTCGACCATCAAGCAGCAAATGCGTTTCTATTATGCGTGTATTTAGATTTACAAATTCGCCCCACATATCTTCCTGATATGGCAAACATCAAACAATGCCCACCCAAGAGTATCAACTAACTCGTTTTAATGAACGAGGACGTAGGGTTAAAAAAAATGGTGCGATTAATTTGGTAAGTGAATTAGGAGAACTCGGGGTGGTTCTCGTTTGGATGACGCTTTACAAATGACGGTTCTTTAAATTCAATGAAGCTTGAAGCCAAATTCAATGAGAAGAACGTGTGAAAAAGAATTTTTTGTAAATTTTACTATGGAAACTGTTTGTTTGGCATATTAAATTTTATAAACCGCCAAAATCTAAACCTAAAAATTACTTTGATCAAAATGGACGAAATTTTATCAAGAACCGGTAAATAAATATAAAATTTACTATTTTATCAATGAAATATATTATAATTTTTCAGGGTTTGGTTTATACACAACGCTACTCCTAAGTTTCGGTACAGTTTGCTATTTGACAAACGCGTTGGCTTACATGAATTTGCCGCTCTATTTGCCAATGATAAGCTGCGACGTTCACCTGTCCGAGTCGGCAATCTCCGTTGCCGATTTCAGTGTCTACATAGGTAATCAACCCGCAAACAAATCTCAACAACGAGCACAAACAAAGCGCAAAACATCAAACACAAGCATGTTTGTTTTGTTGATGTATGCAATGATCTGGTACTAATTTGTGAAAAATTCTGTGATTCCCAACCGTAGGAATGGCAGTGGGCGGATTTTTTCTCTCCGCTGTGTCGGACGTTGTCGGCCGGAAGACCATAATAGCATCGTCGCTACTTTTGATATTTTTCAGCGTACTGATTGCTTCGTTCGCATACGGCCCGTTTGGATTTATACTATCAATGTTACTCTTCGGCACTGGGTAACTAATAGTTTTATTATTATATATTTACTAATCACATGTATGTGTTTATAGATTAGAAGCAAATATGAATGTTTTAAAAGTGTGGTTTACTGAAACCATACCACTAAAGCATCGATGTGCTTGCATTGTATGTTTAGATGTGTTTTGGATTCTTGGAATAGTCGCAGCTTTAGGTAAAAATATAATGCAATAATTAACAATTAATAAAAAATAATTTTTGTAGGATTTTACTGGTTAACACTGCCAATTCTTCTGCAGTTTTATGAAGCAAATCAACGCTATCTAAACTGGAGAATTAGTGTTGTGATGTCAGTTTTCCTGACAATTATTCTCGCGTGTCTTGCAGCTCTGTTCCTTGAAAGTCCAAAATATCTCCTGTTTGAGCGGCGCCCCCGCGACGCTTTGGAAGTTATCCGGGAAATTTACGCCATCAACAAGTCGAAACTTTTCACAACATTTGAGGTTTATAATTATCTATTCTCAGTGCGTTTCCACAGACACATAAATAGCTACTAAGTGATATAAATTTTCCAGCCAGAAAGCGGGGAATGTATAAAATTGTATAATAAATGATTTGCAGATTGCGGATGGCGAGCTACACGGGAAAATAATGGATTTTGGCATCAGCAGCAATAGAGACATACCGAACACGCTCACGTCGAAACGCATACGAATTATTTTCACTCGCATACACAAATCGCTTCTCGTCCTCGTCCGCAAGCCATTTATACATAGCACTATCCTAGCTATTATTTTTCGGTTAATTTTATCAATGGGGTAAAATACTAGTCTTTACTTTTAATCATTAAAAAAAATATATGAAATATTTTTTAGACATTTACCAATGCTATTGTTTTGGTCAAGATCATTAAACCTCGAAAACAGTGTTCTAGTCTCTGATAAATACCTTATCTGGCATTTTGAGCATCCAGTATATCGTGATTGCGAACACTTTGAAAAAGAACCAGACATTGAACTATACCGAGACTTTGCAATATTATGCGGATGTTCCATAATAGGATCATTTTTATTGATGGCAGTACTCAAGTGTATGGACCGCAAAGGAATAATGAGTACTCCCCTGGAAATCAACACTTTCTAATAAATAATTCTTCAAAGTCATTTTAGCTTCCACACTATTCCTCAGCGGAATCTTCAGCATCCTTCTGGGTTTAATTCTGAATAACTACGTGATGCGTTTCGCTTTCTCCGGAATGCTGGCTGTCACCTACAGCATGGCGTGCTCCTGTCTAGACCTAATCCTTCTCGAGATGTTCCCCACCGCCGTCAGGTAACACCCACGCAAATTATTTCATGGTGAGGCTTTAAATGTCCAAGTCTAGGCCGATAACGAGGACGTGTGCGCGCGTTGCGATAAATCACTGACTAACAACTCTCACGATCGATAAATCTCGCCGAAGCAGCGAGCAAATTAAATAAATATTGAGCACATAAACTGGACGCATTTAATCTAACGATTGCTGCGTGCGTCATTTGCGTATTTAATTATTTGAAGATTTCCTCATGAAATGAGCAATAGAATGCGGTAATTAACCTATGCGCAGTAGTTTTGCCTACAGTGACAATTTAGATTATATAAAAAAATGTTTGATTTGATGAGAAAGTAAGAGTTGCATATGTCGGTGGATTTAAGCTACGTTCATTCGACCGACGATATAAATAACACTCTTGGCTTATAAATAAATACGCGCAAAGTTACAACGTTCCACGTCGTGATGCGTAGATGTAGAGACGAATCTGATCACAGTTGATTTACTATATTTTTCAATTCGCTTCGATTTGATTTCAAACATACCGCCGAACCGAAGCGTCAATATTTTCATCCGGATTATTTGTTTTGCCACATCTAATGCGGCGTCCTTGACGCGTATGTTTTCTTTTCGCAGGAGTACAGCAATGGGCGAAACGATGATTTTCGCGCGATTGGCAAACGTCTTCGTCATTAAGTATCTGACTGCATCAATACAGTGGCTATTCATCAGTTTCGGCTGTTTGATGGAAAGTAAGTGCTGCGTGAGTTAGAAGTTGAGTTAGTTTCGAGTCCGAAATTGTTGAAAATCTCTCATCCGGAGCGATTTTATGGCGCGCAAAGTGCCGCGGTTTACTTTGGACGCACTCGGCTTTTCTTTTCTGTGCGTGAAAAACTTGTCCGGCTAAAAATAAGTTTAATAGCCAATAAGTGCCTCCGCGCGCGCGGAGCATTTTCCAAAATGCGGTAACAATTGCAGACTTGGGTCGTGGCCAAATCGCCGCGTCTCGGCAACATTCGGTGAATGTTGAAGAGAAAAAAATTAGTTTTGCGCGTGCACGTGGCTGGGAAATTGTTCCATGTCGGTTTTAGGGTTCAAGAATAACTCGAATGTTTTGCTTGTTCCGTATTTACAAACCTGCAGTATATTTTTGACAGATTCCATTCGAAATATGACTAGTTGTTGATTAAACTATTCAATGCAACGTTGCGCGGGCAAAATACGAGTAAATGAATAATTAGTCACTTTGATGTGTTGTGCGAGACGCGTAATGCGTTCGTAATGCACTTGTCGACGTGCCAAAATTGATTGCAATTTATTACCGCACTGGAATGCCGCGAAAACCGCAAACTGATCAACAATACACAATCGCTAGACATTTGCCAAATAATCAAGCGATGTTTTCTTTCTTGAATTTATGTATGTGTGTTGCAGTCGGTGCGATTCTGGCGTTTTTCCTGCCAAAATTCAGGAATAAAGTGGTTGCGGATTAGCGACGATAAATTCGCTCGCCAGTTATTGGCGAGATCAAAAGAATGGAAACGACATTAATCTGATGGTGTGTGGCGAAGAGAGAAAAATATGAAATTACGAAAACAAGCACGCTATCCTCACGTCCGATTTCTTTAATTCGTTCCTTTTCGTGTGATAATAAATAAAGCATTTTATATTCGTTGCGTTTTCAATTTGTTTACGTTCTCGGCAAAAGATATAAGCAAATCCGTGAAAATAGGCCAAGTGTTATAAACATTTTTGTATGTGGTTTCCCTAACGGCTCCTCGCAACAGAAGGACGAAAACGTCGATTGTTTCATATCAAAATATAAAATATGATTCTAGAATATTAAACCAACAAATCCTAACTCCCAACAGTTTAAAACTGATTATAAAACAATTGTAATTGGTTAATTTTGCCACAATTAAATTCAATGCAAGTTTATCTATGCTATTTTCTTGACTTGTGTGGATATTTCTGTTTAGTGACTTATAAACCGAGTTCGATGCGCATTGGAGTGCCGTGCGGCGGTGCTATATCTGTATGCGCCCGTCGTAGTCACGAGGCGGCTCGCCGGCCGCTTTCCCGGCCGCACCTCGGCCAGTCTCTCGGTCACAACAACGCGACTGCAACTCGGGATTCGGGAACGCGCCGCATGCTCCCACAGACCAAATGAAAATCCGCGATGTGAACCCGTGCGCGTGTGAAGTTTGCCATTCGCGATGAGCAAAGTGAACCCTATGCAAACGTCCGCGAGCGTTTCGTCCATCGATCAGTTGCAGGTCAAGTGCAAACCAGCTAAAAAACGACGCAAATCTGACCGGCTGCGATTACCTACGCCACCTCCGGATCCAACAGTATGTCCACCCACACCACCACCTTCCACGTCTGCCAACAATGCGGAAGGAGACACGAAAAATGTTTGCGACAAAGAAGCAGAATTTCTGGAGTATTTGGAGACCTTACAGAGGAGTCCCTTGGTTATGGGTACTCGTGGAGGTGCTTCGTTTGCACCTGCGGAGGCAACCGAGGCAGCCATTACACATTTGGATAAACTATACAAACTCATGGGACAAATGTTGACTCTTCGAGAACAGAATATTCTCCTACACAGAAGAATTATGGATTTGGAGCGGTTCAGGAGTATGCAATGTATGGACAAGCAAATGGAGCTTATTGCAAAGCTCGATAGTGTTCCAGCTGATGATGACGACACCGCCAACGCCGAAAATCTCTTATCTAACATCCTAACAGAGTCCAAAAAAGAATCGAAGAAAGTGCAGATGAAGTTCCAGAAATCTATCACTAGAAAATCCCTAAAACTGAGGAGTTTTGAAACTGATGGATCAACAGGTGTCCGCCGGATATCCATGCCCTTTAGCAGTTACAGTGATAAGCAAGCAAAAGTATCAAAGTGGACCAAAGTGAAGGCTGCTTTCAGGTGGGAAAAGGCATCTCCAACGGTGAGTGACGCCAAATCACAAGACAGTGGTCTCGGGATACCCCAACCGCTCAACTATGAAGTGGCACGTTATCTGCGAGTGCCCTCTACATCCGAAGATGCCGGCGTAAGTCCAGCGGATTCTGGTGCAGCCGAAGTGTCCACACCAGCAACGCTGTCTTCGGCGTCTTCGGCTGAGGAACTACATCGACATCACGGTAATTATTCAGATGACAGTTTGATGCTTTCCGAGATCTCTATGACCGCGTTGCATTTTGTGCGGGCACGCATAGTGGTGTGATGCGTGCGTGCACATTCGGCACCCGAAATAGAAACGCTTTTCGTTCAATGACACGTGGTTGAACCGAAAGAAATTGAAAACTCGAAAGAGCGGCAGCGGCTTATAAATAACCCCGCGCAACGAAGGCGCGCCTCTCTCGCGCGCGGCTATGCAATAAAATTGTTTCGAGTGTAAAACAAACGCATAATCGCTGTTTATTAAACTATTATTACACCGCGCACTCGCTCGAGCGTGCTTAGCAAATGGTCGTTTTCTGTTTTCGCAGCTCGACGAAGGACGCACGAAGACACGTCCGATGACGATCAACTATTTGTGTACGAATACATTCCATGCAGTGCAAAGGTAGTTGCTTTTAAACCATGATGATGAGTCATTGGCGCAGCTGACGAGAGTTGACATTTCAGGACGAGGCGTCCACGTCCAAGGGGCAGGGCTGTAGCAAGCACAAGACGCCTTGGGCCAAAGTGAAGGACATCATTCAGACGCAGACGCGTAACAGTTTCAAAATTCGGCATCGACTTAGCACGAAAAGCGACGATTTTAAGTTAGAAGATAGTATTATGGTTGATAGTGAGAACGAGGAAGTGTTTGATGTGGAAGAACCCAAAAGCCCCATTCTGATTATTCAAAGTCCAGAGGAAATTTCGCTGGAAAATGAAGCGTTGTCATTGGAACACAATATACCTGTTGATATTATAGCCAGATATAGAATCATAAATGAAGAAAATGTAGGTTTCTAATTAAATATTCAAAATCTGTTTATATATGAATTTGTTACATCTAGGGCGGTAGTTTGGAATCAAAATGGGAAAAAGTCAAACGCGCTTTTCTCCATTCGCCCAGCACGAGCAAAAATGACAGCAGTAGTCCAACGACACCAGAACCATATGCTAAAGGTCCCAATTTACTAATAGTTCTTAATAGCTAGTGTGTAATATATTTTTTCTTTCAATAGATGACAAAAATGATAATAATATTCAAGCTGAGATCCAAAGAAATTATCTGCAACTTCAAAAAAAGTTGTCTTTGGAATTCCAAGAGAAATTACAAGAATGGGAACGAACAAAAATCAGAGCTGCAAGTACGTCAGCCCTATCCACCTCCCCACATAATTCTTCTCAAGATGAAAGCAAAGAACAAGCTTTCAAAAAGAAAATGGAAGAATGGCAGAAGATTAAAGGTCAACCCAAGCATAATATGCAGCTGAAAAGTGAAGAAAATTTACCGCCAGAGTTCCGAAAAAAGTTAGAAGAATGGAAGAAAATAAAAAAGAGTTCTGTAAAAGAAGATAAAAGAAAACCACCGGAATTACCCAAATGGAAATCTTTTGGTGGGCCTAAAACTGATTTAGAAAATCAGCAGCTCTCAGAAGATTTCCTCAAAAAGTACGAAACTTGGAAGCAAATAAAAGCGGGTATCATTAGTCCTGAGGAAAACGAACGCTTGATGGTAAAGGGTAGCAAAACACCAAGTCCTAAATTGTCAAGAAAAGATGGTAGTCAGAAGAAACCCAAAGATCCAACAGAAAAAGAACTGCAATGGTTTGAAAAAGGTATCGAACGAGAAAAACAGCGTTTAGAACGCGATAAACAAAAGTTTCTGGATAGAGAACAGCGACTTTCGAAGTTGAGAAGGTCGGTTATAGGTCACAACAAGAAGGAAATCCTGGTGCACCTTCCGTCGGGTTTTTATCGGTTTGAAGGTATCTCCAGGAAGTTCACACAAAAGTTATACGAGTGGGAAAAAGCGCGTGGAATAGAACCAGAGAAATCGACCTTCACGCTGCTCAAATCCTCGTGCATACCACACATCGAATCAAAAAGTAAGTATTCTATAACAATGATTTATTGCGCACAGAGTGAGTAATTGATTGGTTATGCACGTACAGGCAAATTTCCGCAGCGCCAACTAATGCGATCGAAATCGGCGGACAGTGTCATGAACGAACCACTTGGGCAACTGCTGAGTCAGCGTCCTTCAAGTTTGTCGCTCAACGAGTTAGGTAATCTGGAGGAAGAGATGTTGTTGCCGGATATCATTCGTTCCGGGGAGAACAATCCCAGTGAACCGGATGCTAACGAGGAAGAGAATGAAGAACCCGAGGCTGTTATCGTCGAGGTGGAGGATGTGGTCGAAGAAACTGCTTCAGTTATGCCGACATTTGCAGAAAAACATTTCGCTGTCTATCAAAAACAAGAAACTGATAAACTCTGGTAGCTTATTTTTATTTATTTTTATTTTTTTGTATTGATGTCTGTAAAAATGGGTTTTCTTGGGTTTTCAGCGCTGGGGCAACCCATTTAGGTCCAACAGTGCGTCGATCTGAATCCGCACGTGCACAAGCCAACTACAACCTCATCGAGGAAATCATCGAGGTGCTCAAAAAGCTCGTAGGCAACGAAAACGACATCGACGATGTGGAGCGCGCCAAGTCAATCATCGCCCTGCACGAGCTGGCCGATGATGAAGCAGTTCGCGGGCTAAAGTACAAGCAAGAGCAGCAGAAACAGCTCTCCGAGGTGTTGATCGAGAAGCTCGTTCAGTTGCAGGAAGCTAACTCGAACGTTGCCGTGAATATTGCGCGCGAGGAACCCAAGTACAAGATGGCTAATTTGGTCGATGTCTTGGACACCATTCAAGATTTAACTACCGAATTATTCGCCCTGGTAAGTAAACAGTGTTACAACGCGTTGTTGACTTAAGCGAAGCGGATGCGCGCGGAGTGATTGAATGTGGCTTGCGTTTTTGCGTAGGCCGAGTCCATTGACCACTTCATTTACAAACGAAACAAAAATCAACTTGAATATGGCGGCATAGTCACAAGCAGGAAGACATATCCACAGATCGGGGAATATTTGGGTAACATGAAAGAGAAGATGTTGGATCTGCGAAGAAATTTGAGCTATATTTGTGCTGCATCCGGTAAGTATACAAATATGTTGTACTTTAATAATAAAAAAAAATAATCATTTTATAACATGTAGATATAGCTGTTGCATCTTTTAAACGTAAAGAAGAACGTCCCTTGTTGCGGAAGAGCTCATCACGTGAAAGCAAACGTAATGCATATAAAAAATCACGAAGTAAAGACAGTCGTGAAGAAAATGAAGATGCTGCTAATTCACCAACGCTAAGTCGTCAAATTGAACAGGGTGCTGTTAAGAAACGGTTGAGATATCGTCAAAAGGAATACAAACTAAAACTTTTGAAGAAAGCGATGATGATGACGATAAACTCCTTCTTCAAGAACAACGCAAATCAAAACCACGCCGTATACGTTCTCAAAATAGTACAGAAAGCAATAAATCCATTTCAAAAAATGAAGAAGAAGTAACAGAGATTGTAAAACCTTCTGAAATCGTTGTTGATTCCGCAATTGTAGAAAAAGTCTTGATACCAACCAAAACAGCATTTATGACAAGTTTTGAAGAGTTGTCTAGTTCTACGCCTGCACAACTTCAAGAAGATGACAGTCCTGTAACTGTTTTTGTAAAAACAACTAGAAAATTATTCACACCTATTGTTTCCGCGGCCGTGGGACAAGGTACCAGCTCGGGTACCAAATCAACAGATGAAGATAGAACTTCCAGAGCTTCTGTATCGATATCCTCATTGACATCAACGTCATCTTCTAGTGCTATGATACATTCTACGTGTGTAGACTCACCAGCTGAACATGTGTCCCACCTACCACCAATTCCTGCATCCCCAACACCACAGCGTAAAATGCCGAAGGAAATCTCCCCTAATATTCGACTAATGATGGTGCGATACAATCAAAAATTAACGGAGGAAACTGGTGGTGTGCGGTCAGCAGGTAGTTCTGGATCTGCCTCACCAGTAGCCTGGCGTTCCCCAGTCTTAGAAAGAAGGGTTAAAGCACAAACCGAAAAATATCAACAGGATTTACAAAAGATGTCACCACTTCTAGGTGGACGCAGAGAAGTACAAAAAAGTGCTAGTATGGATGTGGTAATCTCGGGTAACAAACAAGTCACCGTTCATAAAATATATGATCAAATTAACCCGAAAGGAATTTTGAAGTCTTCTAGCACAAGTGTTATTAAACCCAGCGCATATGCGCCAACTTCAATGACAAAACCTTCCTCGCCTATACCCGAAGCAGAAGATGTAAAAAACACCTCCGATGCGCGAAGCATAAAATTGCAAAAAGCAAAAGAAGAGTTTCTCAAAGGTGTTACTTCTAACACAAGCACAACACCTAATTCGCCAACTGTCAATGACTGGGCCAAAACTAAAAATGTTACCGCCGCTGAACAAGTCCCAAATCAACAAGCACATCCGCAAGAAGAAACCTCGAATGCATCTAGTCAGAAACAGTTACGTTATCCAACAAAAAATCGCCTGAGTCAGGTGAGCGTCAACAGCACCATGAGTTGTTCATCGCATTCATCGATAAACTACGGCATGCTGATCAAGTCAGCTAGTGTTGGAATGATCAACGTTGATCCACAAACATATCAACAATTTGAACCTGCGATGCATGCTGGTGGATGTACATCCCTGCCGAGATCCGGCTCGTCGAAAATGAATCTCCTATCGAGTTTAACTTCCAAGTTCAGGAAAGTTAAAATGCGACGTAATAAAGAGAAAGACAAAGATAAAGAAAAAATGAATACTGTCTCAACGTTGTGTAGACAAAGTCTATTGGTGGATATACATAATTCTAGCCAAGAGACTCTGTCGGAGGATCAAAGCAGATTGTCAATACCCTCGGATTCGAAAGGATCTTCAACGGATACGTCTCCGTCAACCTCGCGGACTTCAAGCTGGATCAAACGTTCCGGAATTTTCACCGTGAAAAAAACTTAAGTTAATATTGTAATCAAAGCAGATCGCTTGAGGTAGTCACTAGTTTACAGCTAACACGAAGCATTTAAGTAATTATAACGTTTGTATTTTTATTTCAAGCATCAAACCCGTTTTATACGCGTACGCATTGTTATAATATCTCTAAAAAAATATGTGTAAGGATGGATATAATTAAATGTATTTGTAAGCGAATGAAATTCGGGTGTTTTGTGTATGTAATTCGACCCAAAGAAAAATCCATTAGCAAGAGCCTGACCAGCGGTCATTTGCACAAGTTTTTGTAATTTTTGTACCAAAAAAATACCTTAATTATTTCCGCATCAACGCCATCAGCGTCAACACTAGCGCGTACCTACCGCGGTACAAGTCAACTAATGTCGGCCTTGGTACAGACCTTTGTGAAAACACCAAACACCGATTGTTGGCGGAGACATTTAAAAATGCATAAAGGTTTCCTATTGATTGGGACGTGTAGGCGTCAGGGAAATAATACATGAAGAAGTCAAACTTGAAATTGGCAAATTGCCGAGTGGGCTTAACTAGAGAGATACTTCCACAAACAGGTCCTGTTTGTTTTTAGCTTTTCTTGCGTTTGGCCTGTAATTTATGATCAGCCGCTTATTGTACAATGATAGCCAATAATATATCGATGTAAAATTGCGTTTTAATTGTGGCACGTGTCTGAACAATTTCGTTTTCTACACTACTTAAGAGAACAACATAGTAATCTTAAATATTTCTTACCAAACATCATGGTCGGGCTTCGCTCAGATGTGACATCTACACACTTACACACACACGCGCGCGCACGCGATTTAATTATTACTTAAGATCAATTAAGAACGTCATAATGTTTATTAACAACTAAAATATTTTTAGCGTTCAGTTCGTATTGTGTTTTGCAGGTTACTACTTGGCCTTACGCTGCAAAACCGCTTCTTGCTTATCTCTTATCTGATAATAAGAAGACCTGTTTGCGTGCCGTCAACAAAACAACATTGGAATTTGCCTTTTATTCAAATGCGAATAACACATTGAACTAAACAAAACGATATGACCGAAAATATATTAATTTGCACGCAATGCACGGACCTAAAAGTATAAATAGCCAATTTTGCAATGGATAAACCACATAAATCAAAAATTTGAATAATAGTTACCTCAATTGTACATGATTTAAACATGACGCGATTAGTTCTTGCTCTTACAGTCCTGGTGGCAAGTAATAGCGATAATTCTTACAATAAATTCAAAAATTCCACAAATAAATGATTTTTCAGTCAATGGAATTGCTGGCGCTGCTGTTCCAGCAGATCTCGATGCAAAAATCGCCTCAGTTACAATGTCTGCCGGCGCGGCTGTTGAACAAGGATTCAAAAGATTTATGCAAATGCCGGCGATGGCAAATATATTGAAGCCAGAAACTGTCAATGGTATAAACACCGTTTTTTCTAAAAATTATTTCAATAACACATATTCTACACTGTAGAAGTTGCAACTGCCTTCCGTGAAGCAATCCAAACAAGAGGCAAAGCAGTTCTCATTGAAGCTCATCAACGCACAACACAATGGCTTAAGGAGCACAACGAGCGAACTGAAACGTATATTGAGAGAGCCTTCAGTGATTTCCTCGACAGAGTCGCAAGGAGATGTAATACTAATAATTTGCTTCATTTAATTCCACAAATCATCATAAATATCTTCTTTTGTTTCAGTTGGCGCAAATTAGAATGTGAACCTGGTATAAAATGTAATTTTATATTCAAATATAAACAACATACATTATACAATACATAAATTTGTTCTTATAGAATTTTTACCGTTTTCCTTGCATTTCCTTCCATTTACAATGTTTGCTTTGCAGTAATAATAATCATAAGAATATAGATTTGATTAAAACGGACTTAATTATCCTAATACATTCCAGATAAAATAAATTTCTTTTTGATACATTTGGAATGTATATTTCTTTTCATAATAATATTGATAACATAACGAGAAATAATATATACTTAAATTCCACATGTGTGTTGGCGATTTGTATTGTATCTGATACAATAACGAGAAAAAAATATAAGGACCCATTAAATTTTACTGTTACATCAGCTCCTGCAGACCCTGAAGCGATTTTCGGAACAGTTCCTGTTGGGTGCGCGCGTGTTTTATCTCCAGTTCGGCCAATTCGATCAAACTATAATCAAAATTAGCGATTTTTGATGAAATAATCAGAAAATTGACAACTCAGCAGTATTTTTCAATAAATATTGGATCCACTCACCTACATAAATCTATATTTACAAATGAATACAAATTTGAAATAAATTACCTCTTTCTGAATGCATGTAATCTCCTAGTCTTGAAATCGAGTAATTCTTCTTTTGCCTGTGCGGATATCGCCTCGAAACGTTCACACGCTTCCGATTGAGCTGTTTCTGCCTGTATTCACATATAATTTATAGAAATAAAAATATTATTAAGATGTAAAGTTTATAATATCAACTATAATAGTTAGATTTTCTTATAATTGATTTACCTCTTGAACTTCAGGAGCCTATACAATGTGAGCGTCAATCAAACAAAAACAACCACCAGCAGAGTTAGTAAGGCATAGAAAAGAAGCAACATTTATTGGCAAAATATCTTCACAAGCGTGACTTACCGCATGAATATCTTTATTTTTCTGTCTAGCCTTCTCCAGCGTACGATTCGCAGCTTCATACGCTGCTAGGCATTTCAATCGCCGCACTAATAATGATCGCGCTGCTTGACTATCACGCATGTAGTATCGCAAAGTATCGGCTAGTTTAAGATCTTCATCACTTGCAACACGACTTTCCATTTTCTATCATAAAATTTATAGTAATAGTTATAGAATTAATTTTAATTAATAAACTTACTCGTGCTTTCTCAAAACTATCCGCAACCTTCATGAGAAACTTATCTAATGGACCTGGATCAATATTAGCCATTTGCACGCATCCCCCTGAGATTTTAATGTAGCTATCAGCTACTTCTTTGTGCTTCTCAGTCATCTTGTCAGTGCGCATAGTGGCCTCCTTCAACTGGCCATGATATTCAGTTAGCGAGTTCATCTGCTGTTCGAAAAAGTCATTTACGTCGCGAACAGTAGCGTTCAGATAATATTGGTCGGTGGTAGAACCGAGACTCTTCACCAAGCCTCCCAATTGTTGTAATTTGCCGCGTGGACGGGCGCAAAGATCTTGGTCAAATTCGAGGAACACACGCAAGTGTTCATCCTCGCGGAAAATGGAATGGCTCGCAAGGCGAGTGAGAAAAACTTCGTGCATTGCCACGGTTTTTTTAAACGTTGCCAAATACTCTCTGTAAATATTCAAATATTTATATTCAAATGTTTGTGATGATAAAGGTAACACTTACGCTTCCAATTCTTGCTTCATCTTATTAAATTCCTCCTTGGTCATGGTGCCTTCCCCTTCACCCAGTCTTTGTAACTTTTCTCTTGAGGCATCAAAGTTGGGACGTGGAGGCGGTGGCGGTATCTGAATTGTTTCAGAAATAAATTATTGTTTTGTTATTAAGTTGAATAATATGCTTACAATGTATCCAGCATAAATTGGATTCTCTTCATATCTATCATGCAACCATATAAATTCTTCATGTTGCCTAACTACAAGAAATTCAGACTTTTGGAAGTTTTTCAGGGTGGTTCTGGTGTGCACAGTGAACTTGACTTTGTCTTTTTCGCTGAGTGCATCTGAGATGTCCACAATGAGGCTGTTATCGGTGAGCGTAGGCGTTCCACCATCCTCCTGCATTATTCGCTCCGTCTGCAAGTAAACAAGCGTTATCTTATCGAAAACAATATGATACACAAACGCTAAAACGCCCAATGAGTTTGATTAATCTATAACCTCTCAAGGAATAAATCGCTTGATTGAATGATTGTTAGGAATGAAAGTACGTTTTCCGAAGGGGCGGCTTAGATATTTCTGTACTCACCATAGTATGGGCACTTGAACTTAAGTAATAAATCTAAAAAGCGATGCGCTTTGGTGTAAACCGTAGAAATTCAACAAATTCAGGATGACAGCCACAAGCCGAACGGAATTTACTTTTTTGTTCGTGGCATACGCAGCGCTGGCTGTTGGCTGGTGTGGTGGGAGAGTAAATTCAAGCAGTATGACAACTGTTCTGTAGGACCACTGGATGTCGACGTAACCACGTCATTTGCCATCAATAGAAGAGGAATTCCAGGGTCGGAGTGCAATAATCTCTTCTTCTAAACATGTAATTTGATGAATACTATTTGTTGACGATCAATTATTCTTTTTCATAATGGAATCAACAATCAATATTCAAGAACATCGAACTATGATTCGCACTTCTACTTAAACCTTCGCCAAACCCGCAAAATAGGGTGGGGGGAAAGTTTACTATTTACTGATGATAATTTACTTTAATAACAAATCAACCTGTTCATCTGTTTTTAGCAATTGCATCTGTGACAATTATCCCTAGCAATAGATAAATCCAAATTGTTTATGTTTGAGATTTTATCAGCCTATATCGCATTACCTAACAAACTTTTGGAAATGTGCAAATTCATAATGATTGCGCATTTATACTCTCTGAAATATAACACATACCTCTACATAACTTCATACTTTATGAACATTCTAACTTGTTATCATTGTATGATTAACCAATATTAAACATAACGCGCGAGCATAGCGCACAAGGTCAGAACAATTTATTAAACCAGTAACGAGAATTAAACAAACCTAATACAACAACCCAACACTACTTAAAACACTGCATATTTGATATAAGATCTGGCGATAAATAACCGAAGAATTTTTCATGTTTATAAACTACAAATATTTCACTTTAGAAAAAAATACACGACTCAATGCGCGTGTAGAATTTAATGTGATAAAACCAAACTCAATTTTACGCTCGGGTATAAATAGAAGTATTTGTTAGGATAAGTTCATTACCGTTTAGTTGCCCAAAGCGCGAACACCAACTGAAAATGACCGAATACGATTATACAGATATTGTACGCGAACTCGCGCAGAAAGAAAATGTTCAGGATCCTAAACTAGATTTCCTCTACGCGTCTCAGAAAGGCGATGGTTTTTTGGGCATTGTGCGTGCGGTGACATTAACCGGCAGTAATAAATCTTTGGATTTGGTGATGAAGGTTGCGCATCGTAATCCGGAAACTCATGAAAAAGTTCCTCTACGATTAGCTTACTTGACAGAAATCCACTTTTACGAAGTGATTGTGCCTGCTTTGAAAAAATTACAAGAAGAATATAATATCCAACCTACTTTTGATAATATACCAAAATACTATGGAAGTATCTCAAAACCTCTCAACGAATTAGTTGTACTGGAAAATTTACGCATGGATAAATACGATATGTGGGACCGCAAGAAGTTGATGAACCAAGAACATTTAGAATGCGCGTTGAAAACTTTTGCAAAGTTTCACGCACTGTCTCTTGTATTGAAGGAAACAAAACCAAAAGAATATAAAAGAATAACAGCAAATTTAACAGATATCTATGAGAAATTCATGCAAAAAATGAATATGTATCCGCAATTATCCGCACAAATTAAATCGCTTTTGGATATTTTTGATCCAATCACTGAAAAAACTTATCATGAAAAACTAGCGCGCTTCGCGGATAATCTTCAAGCCGAAATGGAGTCTACTTTCTACTATCACGACTACGATGTTATCATCCAAGGAGACAGTTGGTGCACAAATGCAATGTACCAATATTTGGATGATAATCGCACAAAACCAAATCGGATGAAATTAATTGATTTTCAGTGCGTTAAAACGGCTTCGCCTGTCATGGATTTAGTGAATTTCTTCTACACAATTACCGGGAAAGAAGACTTGGATAATTTGGACCATTACATGCATTTGTACTATAATACGCTGAAGAGTGAAACGAGCAAATTTAATTTTAATATTGAGAATACGTTTTCGTTTGAGAGATTCCAAAAGCACTGGAAATCAGTGGGAAAATTTGGGTTTATTGTTGCATTCATGGCGCGTAAAGCAATGCAGACAGAAAGCGAAGGTACACCGGATGTCGACAGCGACGATTTCTTGCAAGGATTCGATCTTGCTCCAGAAAAAGCCTTATTTTATCGAGCACAGATGAAAGATTTAGCTAAGCATGTAATAGACAGGAATTTTATATAAATATGTATTAGTTCAATTAAATCTAATATATAAATATAGTATAAATATATCACTAGAATGAAAATAAGAGTGTATGATAAAGAAATTTTTATGTACTAGACATAGCAAAAATTTGGTATTGTTTAAATAAATCTTTCGACCTTGAATAAAATTAAATCGAAATGAAACTTGCAGCTCCCTCTAGTTGCTCTCTTAATAAACAAATTTTTATGTTTATGGGTTAGGACCGATTGAAAACTTAACAATATTATTGATAATATTGCTTCTCAGCATGTTATTAACAAGAATTTTGTGTAAGAAAGTTAAGAGCAAGTAAGTGAATATTCCTGTCAAAGAAAACAGGTTTTAATTCATAATATTCCAGGCATATAATGGTTCAGATGGAGAGCGTAGTTACAGGGCACACATTTAATAAAATCAGGGAGAGATTGGCTGATAAATTGGAAATGATTCGGTTTGATCCATTTGGTGAGACTCAAATATTATTAATTATTAATTTGTAAGTGACTTGATTAACTCTTGTAATTGTTTTTTTTTCTGTCTGCAGTGCAAGATAAAGTGGTTTACAGAGAGAAGAAGCGCGTCCGCAGTATGAAATTTTAATGTACAAATGTATTAATTGTAGTTTTTCCAAATAAATTAGAATATAATTCAGTTTTTGTTAATTTGAGGAATGAAATTAATTTGTTAAATATCGCCATCTGGTATAATACCATAGACAACTGATAAATATATCGCCATAACCTTATAATTACGAAACATTTTCGCCTAAAAATCAATTTATTACAATAATCCTTTGTTTATCATCCAACTCGATTAGGCAACCCATTTTAACTATAAATGCAATTACTACTAAGACCAATCGAACTCTTTTGGGAACAATGCAAAGCCTTGAAACTGTGATACAAAGTTCAAATACATACAACAGGTGATAAGTTCAGAAAACTTCAAACGTTTCAAACTTCGGTTTTATCGCCCTGTTTTTATCTAATCAGCACACTGAGCCTATTTATTCGTCTCATTGGGTCGTCTAGTGCCTAAGTTTTAGCACAGTGCCATAGAAATAAGAGCAAAATGAGTTGCTATTTAAAAGTGCCTGTAGCCTGCTTCAAAAATACCTTGAATGGTGCCTTTTCCAACAAGGAACCATGGCAGATAGCAACAATTACTGCCAGCACTGTACTCCTCTCAGTGTGGCTCTATCAGTTCCTATTTGAAGATGAAGAATACATCACAGTGAGGGCAAAGAAGACCTTCTTTAAGTACATGAAGAAGATACCAAGTATTAAGAAGAAAATGCAAGATGAGCTGAATTCTGCAAATAAAGGCTTTCAAAATGATATGGCTAAGAGGTTTGCAAGCAGTAAACACATCACAAGGCTATCAAAGACTAACATGGAGACTGATGAGATTTATAAGTTAGCTGACATAAATTTGAAGCTGGGAACTTACTCCTGGAGCAAGGGAAGAGTCTCTGGTTCAGTGTATTTTAATGATGATAATCTGAGAAACTTAGTGAAAGAAATGTATGCCAAGGCTTCCTATACCAATCCTTTGCATTCTGATGTTTTTCCTGGCATCTGCAAGATGGAGACTGAAGTTGTCAAGATGTGTGCTAGATTATTTCATGGTGATGATGATACTTGTGGCACAGTAAGTCATTTTTTACTCTGATGAATTAATTATTAAATTATTATTCATTTTAAGATGACAACTGGTGGCACCGAGTCCATTTTGATGGCGTGCAAGGCTTATAGAGACTATGCTAGCGAAGTTAAGGGTATCAAGAGGCCCGAAATGGTTCTTCCGGTCACCGCGCACGCTGCCTTCGACAAAGCGGCACAATACTTCAAAATCCGCCTACGAGTCATCCCCGTTCATACCGATACTTATCAAGTTGATCTGAAGGCTTTCAAACGCGCAATCAACGGAAATACTATCATGGTAATATATACTCAGACTAAATAAATGGAACTTACTTAATTGTTACTTAACAGTTAGTAGGTTCAGCACCAAACTTCCCATACGGAACAATGGACGACATCGGTGCCATTTCGGACCTCGGTGTCAAGTTCAACATTCCCGTTCACGTCGACTCTTGTCTCGGCGGCTTCCTCACTGCCTTCATGGAAGACGCAGGTTACCCGGCTCCACACTGCGATTTCCGCCTTCCTGGAGTAACCAGCATCTCTGCTGACACGCACAAATATGGCTACGCGCCCAAGGGTACCTCGATTGTACTTTATAGAAGCATTGTGTATCTTCATCATCAATACACAACCACCACGGATTGGCCTGGCGGCGTTTACGGATCGCCAACAATTAACGGTTCACGCGCCGGTGGTGCAATCGCCGCTTGTTGGGCCACGATGTTGTATTTCGGTGTGGATCGTTACATTCAGGCTACACGCGAGATTATTTACACGACTAGATACATCGAAAAACGCCTCCGCGAGATCAAGGATATTTTCATCTTCGGCCAGCCAGCGACGAGCGTAATCGCAATTGGTTCGCACATCTTCGACGTCTACCGCCTACAATCCGCGCTGGCAGCCAAAGGTTGGAACTTGAATATCTTACAATTTCCTTCAGGTATTCATTTCTGCATTACCACGTTGCATACAACTGGTACAATCGCTGATGACTTCGTCACTGATGTTAAAAGTTGCGTCGCGGAGATTATGAAAGATCCGGGACAACCTGTCCAGGGAAAAGTAAGTAACTTACTAAATCGTAAACAATTATACTCATTTTGTCGTTTTCAGATGGCTGTTTATGGCGCTGCGCAACAAATCCCAGACCGTGATATTGTTGGCGATGTAATCAACTACTATCTGGATGCAATGTACTACATTCCACCAGAAAATGTTTTAGAATAATTTGAGCGCACGTGTTTTCCACTTTTAAATTCTATTCACGTTGGACAATTAAAAAAACTGCAGAAACGTACAAACAGTCACACAAACATAGTCTCTATCACTATCCAACATTTTAAACAATAAACACTCCCTAGAAGAATTTCTCATCCAACAAACAAGTTTAAAATTGTTGTAACATCCATATATGATCTATTATAAAAATATACGAGTGCCTTTAAGTGTACGTTTTGCATCAACAATCTTAAAATGTTATCACCCGCTTTTAACCATTACCTTTTGTTTAAAAATATCATGACAATCATCATCATAATCGTAAAATTTCAACATTACATCAACATAAATTAAGCGAATACTGTATAAATATGAGCTACGTACGATTGTGTACTTGTACTACTGGCTTTCAGATTTGTTACTTTTTCATTTGTGTATGGTCAGTTACCGTACTAAGGCCTAAATTACGTCCGTGCGGAATAAAGAGTCATCACCCACGGTCACAAAGTTGTGCGACAACAATCTTTCCGCGGTCCAACGTTGGCGCGGATCGTGTTGGAAGCAGTTTTCCAAAAAGTCGTGCCCTTCGTCGATCAGAGTTGCAGGAGCTTCGGGCGCCTCTCCCATACCGACTTTGAACATTATTTGAAAATTGGAGTCATATTTACTCCATGGTCGCTACATTGAATAAAAAAATTAAATAAAAAATGAAAAATTTGATGAAACTTAGTTTTCGTATGTTTACCTTGCCTGACGCCATTTCAACGACAACACAACCCACTGACCAAATATCAGCGGCCCTACCATGACCATCGATGGTGGTTTTGGTGAACATTTCCGGTGCCATGTAAGCCTGCGTCCCAATAATGCCCATCAACTCGCCTGGCATAGTCACATGCGACTTGAGCTTAACAGCACAGCCGAAATCTCCAATTTTAAGTCGATTGCCCTCGTCCGTTAAGAAAATATTCGCCGTTTTGATATCGCGATGCACAATTCCGTGCTCATGCAACGCAGCCACACCGTTCACTAATTGAAAGGTGTACCTGCGGATCAAAAGCTCCGGAAGACCATTCACAGTCCCTGCAACGAGACTTTCCAACGTACCTTCGGCGCAGAACTCCATAAATATCAACATCTCTTCCTTGTGCACCTCCAAGCCGTAGTACTTGACCAGATTGCGATGTGAAATACCTTCCATCGCTTTAATCTCCTCGGTGACTTTCCGAACGGAAACGTCGAATTGTTGAATCGCCACCTCTTTCACAGCCATCATTTCACCCGTATCGTTATTAATCGCAGTGTACACCTTACCAAACCTACCCTGGCCTATTTTAATACCGCGCTGCCAACTGAAAGTGACATTTCTCTTTCGAAGATACTTCATACTCAAACTCCCACATGGTTCTTTCGGATAAATTTTACCGATTAACTCCTGCTGCCGCAATTTGGTATCCATTACTTCGTCCAATGTCGTCACCGCTGTACGAATAGACGCGGCTCGTAGAGCAGGCGAGTGTTTTATTTTAACAATCACCTCCTCTAGACAATCTTCGCATTTGAATTGATTGAACTGTGGCGACTCGGCCTCCGATATTGGAGAGCTTTGTTCTACGCTCGTTTTACGTCCGGCGCTACGTTGACTCTTATAAGTTGGCCGCGGGCTGGGTGATGAACCGCGGCTACGCGGAAACTTCACCAGCTCCAGAGAAGGACGTGGTGATGACGAATGGAAACCAGAATCAGGAGTTGAAGGCGCCGTAGTACCAATTACATGCGAGATGCAACGATCCATGCTCATTTTAAGCTCTTCAAATTCACTGTCGCTGAGAAATCGTGTGTACTGCGGCTCGCAGACTGTTAATAAGAAGTCCAGGCCTTGGTACGCCCAGCGGGGGCGTTTTCCACGACCGCGTTCACAACGTTCCTGCGCGAATTTCATCCACAAGTGCGCAAATTGCACCATACTACGTGCCAACAATGGCCGCCGCTCAGCAGGTACAAATTCAGACATTTCTTTATGAAACTAATAACAAAAAATTACAAAAAAGTATAAAAACAATCGGTTTTCACTCAATAACTTACTTCAAATCCAAATCTAAATCCCTGCATAAGAATCTCCCTATAACGGGAGATAAACGCCGCTTTTTCAGACTCATCCAGATTCTCCAATGTGGTGATATCGCAAATATTTTGCACTTTTTCGATGGCCTTCGGCAGAGTGCACTTCAACGCAACCACAGAACTCTAGAACAACATAAATCATGTTTAAATGACAGTAAATATTTTTACGAGGATTGACTCACCTTAAATTCTTCGACGTTATTGATAGGAATGCCGCTTCGAAACAAAGTTTTCGCGAATGCAATTATTTTCATGCTTGTTTCACGTTCCAAATTAAACACGGCTTGTAACTCACGACATACCACAAATAAATTTTGTCTAAAAATAAAAATTACCACAAATTACATCAATAACTTAAACAATAATAGACTTAACTCACTTTTTATAAAATTCTTCACGTGAATCCACCTCCTTAGCCAACTCTTCAATCCTAGTCGTGAGACGATTGCCAATTTCCGCCATCATCGCCCCAAAATATTACAAAATTTCATGCCAGCTCTGTCGAATCCATTGGGAATATGCTTAACATTATCACACACAAAATTCCACTCTTCTTCGAAAAAGTTCTTCTGGAACGTGTCCTGCTGCAACAGCGCCCAGCTGCTCATGTACTCCAAGTAATCGACAAAAATCCGCTCTAGACTCTGATCGAAAATCTCAATATTCTGCGTGTATTGTTTTACACCTTCATTTTCTAGAGTGGCAATGTAGGACACTGTGCATTCGCGTTGCAGCACCGCAATTTTAATACCCTCCTTTGACTCACGCAACAATTGCCGCACACTGAGCGGTGACGGCTTCTTCGGCTTCTGTTCCAATCTCATACGGATAAACTCATGCACCACTTCGAGCGGAACCGACGCCAAAAACAAAAACGCTGCTTTATAACTAGGCAGTTGCAAGGCATGCGCTTCCGGACTCCAACAGCCATAACGCATCAATTCATCATCATGGCTATCGCTGGAAAAAACTGCTTCATCCTTTGGTTTCTCTAGTGTTAACTGTGCCTTCCTCAAGACGTGCTTGTGCAACTTATCCAGAAAACTCATACTTTTATTAAGACCGCGCGTTTTGAGAATGTTCTCAATGTACTTGCGGTATGGAGAGCAAGCATTTTCATACCGCTTGTTGACTAGAGATACGATCGGCATGACATTGTACATATCGACGGGAGTTCTATCGTTTAAAAGGTAGTCATTCACCGAATTTGTGGAACTGTTGCTGTCTGAAGGACTGGTGGAATCGACAGATTCCTGCATCGGCCATTGAAAGTCTTTGTTCTCAAGCAGCGCGAGTAGTTTACCAATAATGACGAGTTTAAGTCGATGGTGGCGCGTCATATTGTACCACAAACACATTGCTTTCACTCTCCCGACGAACTCCGCCGATGTATAGAGTGGAAACAATTCACCAAATGCTTTACTCGAGGGAAACAAAGACTCTGCCGCTTCTAATTGCAGCAGGATTTCTTCTATATCCTTGAGTGCATCGTTCTGCGCTTGCATGCACGCCTCACAGTACATGGACAAACAACCCGGGCAGTCAGTGCGATGACGATTGAATTTGTAACACATAACTGTGTTGAGCAAAGGACCGATTGATTCGCGAGCGGACCATAGGAATTCGTCCTGTTCAACGGGCGTTCGGTCGGCGTGATACGCTTGCAGTTCAAGCCAGATGAGATCTTTAAGTTCAGTTTGCCAGAGGATTTCTTCGCGGCTAATGTGTCTTCTGGAACCGCGATCTGGAGCTGGTTTGTCTCCACAGCCCATCTTTATAAGCATACTTAATGTCTGATGGAACTCGATACGATTGGCGGAGCAATCAAAGTCCTCCAAAGCAATATTATTGTTACCTGTTGGTGTGGAGACTGGTCGGGCTGCTCGGATTTTATTCCCTGCAGCCACTCTCTTTGAAGTCAAACATTTGAATCTGCTGCAGCTCTCAATTGCTCTCGACAAGCACATAGTTCCATCACTTTTTTGGTTTTCCTGAGCTGCCAGCTGGGCAGTACCAATGTCCAACTTGAGATCTCGTTCAGAACCGCGTAGTAACTTAATATTACGCTTGTTCGTCCGCTTACCCTCATCTGCATCATTTTCTGCCTTTGTAATTAACTCTTCAAACATGGTGCTAACTGTGTTGCGTCGAGAAACAACCTTACGGGTCAATTTCGGCGACGCCTTGACTCCATTGCTAACAATGAAATAATAAATTATATTACGTAAATGCACGACAAATTATTTGTTTGTTTAAATGCTTATAGCGAAAGCGTACCCGAAGTTTTCCTTGTCGCGATGCTTCTTTTCTTTGTATTTGCGTAGAAGACGAGTGCGCGGCGGTGTCCGACCATAGCAATCGTACTTCTCGCTACTGGATGGCATGCACAAACAAAGTAGGAGTTAGTAATTAAACTATTTTTAAGTGATAGGCGTTATCTATGCGCGATTATAATTGTTTACTCACAAGTCTTCATCGGAGTAGAGCGGTTTGTCGTGCTTGTCGTCGTCGATCGGCAGAGGCGCGGACATTTTTGCCACACAGGACAAACGATGCGTGTATCGACGCGCACTCACATTTTCGGTAATCGGCGATCGATTCCGCACGCTGGTATGCGCGTACTTCGATAATTAATTACCGATTAGCATTATAGGCAATTAAAAATGGTTTTGTTGAAGGGGTGACATGACCGCCAATACGAACGGGCACGAGCCGACTCGTCGCGCGTCGCAAACTGTCGCCAACAAGTTGAAACCAACAGCGGGAAACAAATGAACTAGAAAACGTAGGTTGGCACTTCTGACATTCAAATATAGAGTATACAACAAACAGATTATTATTAACAAATGGCACATCGCACGTGTCTCTATAACATAAATTCAGTTATTTGACAAAATGTCTTCTGAGCATGCCACTGACAATCTGGATTTAACTCCATATCCATCTGTATTAAATTTATCAACATGGAAAAATCATCACCGAAACAGCACAATTCGTAAAAATGCGTTGTTAACGTTTCGCGAACGTATAAAAACTACAAACACCTTCAACTCCAATGTGTAAACATAAATGAAGTAAATGAATTGCCAGAAAATATAAAAAAAGAAATGCTATCAACACGTAGGTCAACTATTCACAAAAATCAATTCAAATTAATTAATTAGTTGAAAAAAGTTTCAGAAATACAAACCAACGTAAACAAAGTCCTAAAACGCACTCTACTAGAACAACTCTTAAAAGAAAAATCATACATATTAGTTGATTCTACCGATGAATCTTCAGAAAATGTAGAGTCTGATGAAGATAATGAAATGGTTGAAGAATCTGATTCGAATTAATAGAGCATTTTCTTATTTTTTTTATTTTCGAATATCGCACAGTTTATATATGTACAATTTGCATCTGTATTTAACAATCATATAACATCAACAACATTAGTTACTTTTTTTTGTTAATTGCCCGTCGGTGCAATATTTAAAATGATAATTACCACTCAGAGCAAAATATCATCATATTTTTTGTTCAATAATATTAATCAATAATAATAGTTTAATGTATATCACTGGTACGTAGAAAATTTATATGTATATTATTAAAATATCTAAAAAAAGCACGCAATTAACTAAACTCTCAGTGCAGCCACCATCGTAACGAAAAACAGAGTGTTATTTCCAGTTAGAAATCATCTTGATTTGTATCTTTATCATATGACTGCACTCAAAGTTTCATCATTTAATGCTATTATCGTATCATAATTATGTTAATCATGTCAATATGATTTAATAATAATTAATAAGCGTGTACAACATTTAAGTGAATTGTTATTTTGTTGGTTTTCACCTGCGTCCTCAGTGTATGTTCTTTTTTTTTGTTATTATTTTCATCAAATCTCATCATGCTCACCGATGATTCTTACAAATAGTACTCGTAGTAAATGATTGATTTCTGCTGCGATGACTTTGTCTCTATTCGAGTCGATAATATAGATTGATTCATTACAATTTAGTCTAGACGTGTTTAATGTGCTGATTTTTCATTTCGCGACATCGACTATTGCATTGTGTTTTCATTTGTATGTGTTTTTGTGTGTGTGTGTGTGTTAATGATTTGCGTTTGCAATGCACTACTTGTTAAGAGTTTAGATTAATTGGCGACCGAGAGGTCGGAACGCAAAACGAAAGAGACAAGAAGACATCGAAAGACGTGCGTTTTTCAAATAACTTCACTAGTGTGTATATCGGCTGCTTCACTACCGCCTACAAGATCGATTTTATTGGGGAGCTAAAGCTCTACACGACGATTCAAACAATTTATTTATTTTTTTCATCTGAAGAAGAAGAAATTAACTTAGAAAAGAATTTATATTATAGTTGAAGTTTGTAAGTGCTTTCCTATGTGTTTTATAATGAACCCTGTTTCGTCGTGTGTGATTTGTTCAAATCGAACGCATATTCTACAATATTCGATAGGAAATGTAAGATAACGAATGCGGTTGCACTACCATCAACGTGTAGCTTAAACTTCCTAACCTCAAAGTGCTGTTTGCGTATGAATGGATCATGAAAAGTTGGACTTAACAATATGCATTATGATGTAGTTGGTGTATTCATCTTATTTATAAGTTTTTCTCTTTAGTTTAGTTTCTTAAAAATTGCCAAACAAGATGCAAACAAGCAATTTTTCTTCGCTCTGATAAAATTTGTAATTAATTTCATTTAATAACCAACATACCGTATTCAATATCAACGCGCTAATTTTGTTTGAAAACGAAAATAAATCCAGTTGCGTTACATATGCTTATCGATAGTTTATAAACACACACACAGAGAATCTTAGCGTCAATGATGTATTAAAATGTAAATATCTGCGCGTCGTAATTGAATGATTCATAAAAACCAGGGGGCGCAAAAAATCCATCTCTAATTATATACAATATCACATTATAAATTTTTACAATTTACATATTTTACAAGTGTCCGTTATTCGTGTCTCTCTGCTTGTGTTTTGCATTAATTGTTTGTCTTAAATGTGTTGTTGTAATATTAGGTTAACTTGCTTAATGATGACTGGTTAATGATGATCTTATTACATCGTAGAAAAAACATTTCGCTCAGTCGACGGTACGTGTAATTGCGTGAAAAAACGTTTTGCTCGCAAATTCGTTAGTTATGCATCTCATTATTCATTATTCATTAGTAATTAGATTCATATAGTATCGTGAATTAATGGCTACGTCTTGTGGTATCTTGATTGTGTTCACATGTCAACTGTTGTCAGCGTCTCTGCCTTCTTAGTATTCTCTCTAAACACGAACGTATCTAGATAATCGTAAATGAAGTTACGCACTATATAAAAAGCTCAGATTGTATATATTTCCATCCTCTGGAGCCGCCGCGCACCAAAATGTCCCATCGCGTGGCCGTGCATTAATTTATTCATTTAATAACTCGTTTAGTGATTTTCTCGGACAGCGTTGTTGTCCGGCTAGTAATATCATTTTAATTAAATTTAGTTTAGTTTATGTAGCGCCCTTTCACCATTTATGTTCAACACCCATCAATGATTCACCCGATTTGTTTATTTATACGTGCGTAAAACGAAAACGAAAACCAAACAAAACCGAAACCAAACTTGATCATTTTTATTATTGCATCGTGCGATGTCAAACAGCGTATCTCGTGAGCAAACGATAAACCGAATCCCGCCTGTCGCCATGTTGTCGGAGTGTGCACTTGAATGCGAGTAAAAAGAAGCGACTGGGTATTGTGGAATGGTAAGTAAACTCGGACCGGATGTCGACGTGTTCGTTCTTAAATGTACGAGTACGGTCCGTCCGTGAGGGCGCTACAAAGCAGTAGTCAAGAGTTGTCGTCCTTATTGGAGCCGCCGCCGCCGGTGCCGCTTCCTTGACCGGCGGCTGTCTTGCCTCGAACTTGTTTGTACTCCAAGCCCGGATCAAATTGCATTAATACAAACACCTAAAAAGAAAAGCAAGAAAAACATGTATTTACCTAAAAAAGTAAACAATTAAAAAAATTAATCCTTGTACCTGATCAGTTGGTAATAATTGAAAATCATCAGGTGGATTAGTAATGACGTATCGTTTGCTGCTGGCATCCGCCGAGTTGCTGGTGTCGCGAAAGCGATACAGGCCGATGCACAGCATGCCGAATTGTTTGAGAGCGGCGACGAAAAGGTCGCCATATTTTCCGGTCTCGCCATATTGCGCCAGCGGGCCGTCGTACAGCGAGATCTGGCCGACGCGGCATCGATCGCGATTTGACAGGCTTTCCGTCGTGCTGCGTGAAAAAGTTCATATTTCAATGTCTCATCGCATCTCCATCCGCCACCACCTACCTGTATCCGCCTCGAAGACCTGCTCCTTCGGCCAGAATTAATTCCAATTCGGGCGTCGCGCCTCCGGTGATTAATGATCGGATTAGCGTTAAGGCATTTTGGTTGAAATATGTCTAAAAAGAAAAAAACATATTTTTAGGTTAAGTTATGCTAGGTTAGACTATGTCAGACTACGTTAGATTAGGTTAGCTTTGATTATTTTAAGTTATGTTAAGTTTAATGTATAAGATGCTTACAGTAGACATAAGTGAATCTAAGACACTGACAGCGAACGCTGTGCCGCAGGCAAACGGCTGCGTGAGGTATAGTTCGGTGTCAGGATCGTCGTCATCGTCCTGATCCAGAAACTGCACGTTGCTGTCATTCACCAGTTCTACAAAAAAAAAACAGCAAAATTACAATTTTAATCGATTGATGATTCTAAAGACAGAGAATTTAGCTGAAGCGTACCAGTGATCATCGGAACATTGGCACCGTACACAGATCCGCGCCTCTGCAGGACAATGGGACTGCCGACCGGTGTGGTCGTGTCCTGCTCGCCATTAGCCTGACTGAGCACGCCGATGGTGTCGTCGAACGTCATCGCTTTGATGTTCAGCGACGCGAGGATGGCTTCCTTGTCGGCTAGCGTTGGGTCGTCGTTGCTGGGCACCTTCGCGGACAGGATGCAGCACATATCACATAGGTTCACGTTGACTGCTCGCAGATCAGCCCGACTCAATGGCGAACCCTAAAAAACACCCCAGTGTGAATCTAAATCACACAAAGCTTTAATTTTAGGTTATGTTTACGTTCAAAACGGAGATCTTCGGTAGATTCTGTAACATTTTCCACTCGCGTCGGATGTAATCCACCGATCCGACGATGACGACGTGTTTCAGCTCGTGATAGTGGAAGTTACTTGCCCGCAATGGCATTACTAGATTCCTCAAACCGATCAACGGCGAGTCAGGATCGGCAAAGAGACAGACCACCACGTGTCCGTTGAGAACTGTCATCGCTGCTTGATTGCGATCCTGTCAATCAAAGAATATGATTCAATTTCCTTTTTGAGGTGATTTCAAAGCGTATGTACCAGTATGCAATCTTCGAGATTCTTTGCGGGCCCCCAATGGAACATGCCCGTGCTGTCGTACTTCATTTCAGTCTTTTCAAAGTCGAAATCTTTCGCCTGGTCGTCCGCCAGGCCGACGGGGAGCGCAACCCCGTTGCTGTTTTGATTTCCGCTGCCGCTGGTGCGACTCGTCGGCCTAGAACATCCCCAAGCATCGCATCACAACCATCGCCAAATACTCCGCGACAACAGTCAGCCACTTATAGAGTAAACGCTAGCAGTTTCCGAGAGGACTACATTAATTCTCTAAGTTTGCACTAATGATAAACTAGCACCATTCATCATTCCCAATAATTGCAATTCAATATTCGTTGGAAATATTTATATATATAGAAATAGGTAAAATCTCAAAATTCAAAACAATCAAAATTCATTGTCCTAGAACGACAGTTACACGAATGCACATCGATTCCATATATATAGTCAAAAATAAATCTGTACAAAGTCAAAAAGAAACGATTGCTTTGTTCAAGAATTTTTCATGCACAGGTTTCTGGTAATTTCATAAATCTTGCGTTTTTCTCTCATTACCACACTTTATATTCATATAGATATTGAGAATCATGCGACTCAGAGAGAAAATCTTAGACAAGAGTGCAGATACTTTACATTTTACGTTCATATGTATACGTATATCAAAGTACAGTCAGTCGGGGTTGTCATTACGTGAGGGCTAACTTCAAAAAGAAAATCGTCGAATTAGAAATCAAAAACATGGTTGGACTATCAGCAGATCTACATGTACCAACTCACAATGTAAAAATTTCGTTCATTTTTCTTCTCAAAAAAGTGCTTGAAGTAAACAATCTTAAAAACACGTTGCCACAGCGACTCTAAATTAAATTATTGATTAGTTCTTAAAAATATTATAAGATTTTTTTGTTAGTGTCGCTTTGAAACGCGCCTTTAACTTAAATTAAAAAAAAAACATTAAAGCACGCAAAGTTAAAATAAAATAAATCGCATGCAATCTTTACATCTTTTGGGAGAAAAATAAAAATATTTTATTGCCATATTTTTCACGTACAGGCAACACATTTAACACTGAAAACAAAGACTTGCAACATAATAAAAAAAGAAAACGTAAGTTTAATCACGAGAGAAAATAAAACTTTAAATACGTATCAGCGCATTTGCATGAAAATCATAAACAATTAACAGGCAGCGAGCACGGCAAGAGGCAAGGCACGCAAGCATGGACAGTTATGTGTTAGTAGAGCTATAAGCGTACATGAGTTTTTTGACTTCATAGGCAAGATGATAGCCGGCATAAGATGTGGTTTCCTGCTCCGGCGCTCTGAAAATAGCACACTGCTGATAGCACACCATCTCGTCGTGTTTCGATAGAACAATTTCGTTAATCAACAAAAAAACGCATCGAAAAAGTTTCAGATTTTTTTTTCGTTTTTCGATGATGAAAACATATTAATTAAGAAATGAAGAAACAAACAAAAGATTATAGAAAATATCGTATTGCGTGAAGATGTGTATTCTGCTTGTGTATCGTGTCATCATGAAATCAATAGTCAAACTCTACTCATTTACTAAAAATCAACTGTTTTGTACTGTTGTTGTTTTGAGTTTTGTTCTGTTTTTTTTTGAATTGCAATACTGTATCTCAACGTGTGCAGTCGAATGTTGTACGAAAGCAAATTCAAAACGTGATAAATGTGCATTATTCGAACGCGCGGCGTTCGAGACAAACCGAAATATATATGAGAACCTATTTTGTGAGCATTTTACGAGAAGGGCAGCCGGCAAAATACCTTGCGTTGTAGCCGGGCGAGATGACAGCGTCGCCCGGATTGCGGTTCACAGTCGGCTTCACTTTGTTCACCTGCTTCGTCGAGTTGATCATATTCGAGTTCGGGATCGACGTGCTATTCCTATGCGTGTGATTCCTCTGATTTACTAAAAGAAGCAAAGAGTCAATTAATATTCTCATTCACTGCGAATCATTATTTGGAGTGTGTATTTGCATTGGCGGCCATTTTGTGTAAATAGTGTGTGCTGGGTTTGGATTAAAACTTACAGTACTGCTCCTCGGGTAGTCGATTCATGTCACCTGCAAAAGCACATCAAGAAAAACACATTACTAATCGCATTTCTACGCAGTTTAAACAATAAACAATTGTGAACAAACAGAAATCGAACGAACTTGGTGTGCACATCTCGTAACGATGAGACTACAAACATCTACAGAGGATTGCTGCAATCTAAAAGGATTGTCAGGAGCATATTTTGCAGAGTTATCAAGAAGCGCTTTCAATTACATATTTTGATGAATGTTAGAAACTTTCTACTGAAATCAAAATAATGTGCACTAATTTCAAACATAGAAGCGTCTTCAAATTGCAAAAAATCCCTGCGTTGATTATTGAATATGCAGAATGCGTGAATGTTGCTAAATTGTCTATGAATGATCTATTAAATGAAAAAATAGAAAATAAAACAGATTGCAGTGCAATAACGTACTTAGAGGACCGTGTAATACAGTAACGCAACAGTGAATACGTTGATCGACAACGATAACACGAAATTTCTGTTTGGATGGTATACAAAACAATAAGAATACCTCTGACGTGAACCTTCTTGGGTAACTCTGGTGGTGTGAAGGTGGGAGGAGGATGGTGGTCATCTGTAACCACAAGTTTGTCTAACACATCTATTACTTCCAACGCCTTAAAGTATCATCAAAATTCAAATTGTGAAACAAAACCAAAATGTTTCAACAAAAAACATTTTCTACGTGAATTAGCTAAAACTACATTAAAACTAAACTTTTTCAAACAAAATTTCAAAAATTATATAAAATATTGATTGAGTTTTGAAAAAGTTTAGTTATTTTTATTCACTAAAGTGATATCTACATTTAATTCTAGCGTGCTACAATGATAATACATTTTCTACAGAAATTTGAGTAAAACGTGCAGAGTTTTATTCCATGCGCTGACATGATGCGCCACATTCCACAAGACCTTCCAAGACACAGAATTCGGCAAGAAACGAATACGTAAAACACGTAAAAGACGAGAGATCCACATTCAACATGCAACTAACAGCAGCATGCGCACGAATTCCTAATTCCTAATTTGCGCAAACAACAAATATTTTTATTTTTTGTTTTTTTAATTAAAAATTTCCACAGAAAAATATGTGTTGTTTATGCAAGAAATGTATTATACACCTTTTCTTAGTTATTTATACGTTTAACACTTTTTAACACTTAGTTTTTGTTTTTTTGTCTTTTGAGAATACCACTACGTCATTTCGCATATGCTCTCTAAGGGTGGTTTCGGGGTTTGTAATATACAGACAGATCAAGAGAGAATTACAGAGATAAGTACAGATAGAGAAAAGAAGAAGAGATAGAGAAAATAAATTAATCAGAATTAATCAATTTTTGATTCTCAGTATTGATATTTTACTTATTTTTCTTTCGGTAAAATTTTTCGCTTATCGCTTTGATTGAATTTTGTTGAAATTTCGCATGTGTCAATGAATATACAGTGCTGATTTCATGTTCTGTACGTTCGGGTGTTATATATCAGTTATTCACATGAGAGGGTGGCGGGGTGTTAACGGGCGGGGGGTTGCTGGAGGCATCGGTTAACGATGAAACAAAATGCGACGCATTCCGCGAGGGGCACGCGACGCACACTTGGTGGCTTTTGAGAGAAAGAGCGTACTGGTCGGTACACACACGTACGAGCATTATCCATCACGGCTACAAAAAACGCAGTGTCAACTTACTTGGCAACGTGAGGTCCTCGTCTGCGTCGGCGTGAGCGACGTTTAAAAAACAATGCCATCGTGGTAGATGGAGAAAAATGAGTACAGTTTCTTTGCTTTTGTTTGGTTGCTATATATTTCAGTGTGTTTGAGATCTGTATGTGTGCTGGGGGAGGGTTATTATAGGATGAGATATATTGATGAGCCGCAAATGTATAGTGTGTTGCCTATATTTTTGCATTTATAACACGTTAACATAGGCAACCAGTTGTATCTTTTTAATACGCACGCCACTGCAGTGCAATATATAACCATTTACCCGTCGTTAACGTGTTTTAAAAGCTTCTGAATCTTCCATTTTTATAGTTTTTCAATTGTCAAAACCCTGGGAGACCTAAACATTATTATACACACTGACCCTAACTATTTAATACACATCAACTATTATTAGTAAGAATTATACACAGAGTGACAGCGACTAGTCATTGAAAGCTTATACATAACATTGATTTTTCATAAACATTTTTATGTACAAGCCAACAAGCAAATGTTATTAGTCAGCGTCAGACTGCGCGAGTTCGATTCTCTCGAACACTCGGTATACGAGTACGAGTACATTACAACGTTGATAATAATTAATCAGTTCAAATCCAAGTCTTATCGATCTGTTTACGAGTGAAATCTAAGAGAAAAAACACCGAAACGAGTACAACATTGTCGTATGATTGTATTTGATTGCCAATTACAATAGTCTGATTAATTTTAAATTAACACTTCATATTGTAACTTGCAATTAAATATTTTGCTCACAAATAATATTAATATTTAAGTTTTGAGTTTTCTTTTATTATCACTTGTGAACAAAGTAATTTTCATACGTTTTTGATCTAGATAACGAGTATGTACGAGTAGGTCGTTTAAAAAACATCAAAAATCTAAAAATTTCATTAAAAATATTCAAACGACTCTAAACACTCTGTATATGAGTATATTTGTGTCCCAACCAAGAAATTAGGAAATGATTAGTGGATTACATATTAAAAAAACTTAGTTTTTGCAGATTTTCCATCAACAAACACACAACATACAGACGACACGTTTAAGACATCGATTTGTAATATTGTCATACAGAAACAACAAAGAATATTATGCATTCGTACGAGTACGCGACGACAATTTCTTTCACTGGTTCACGATTGTCAAGCCAACACACGATCGCATCCATGACACCCACGCACACACACATACACACTGAGACAGACGAACAAAACAAAAACGGCGCCGATGAGCAGCTGAGAGAAACCAATGAGTGAGTGTCGCTTGTCTGGTTATTCAGTGGCTGGTGATGTATGTGTCGATAGAGATTTTACATGAGATAGATATAGAGAGCAAGACTGTAGGGGTTTTAGTTGTTGTTTATGTAAATTAGAAACGAATTTGTATACGTTACGTACTCGCTCGGCCGACCATTTGGATGGCACGAACACCCTTCCTGAATGTAGCCACTATAAAGCGATGTCAGAGACAAAAATCATTCGGTTAGTCCAAAAACAAACAACAAGTTCATGGCTTGTTTTGTGAGAAGGGGCTGAGGACGATCGACGATAGTCAAAAATTCAGCTTTTTCTTATTCTCTATTCGATTTGTCTATGGTATAATAAAAAGCTTTTACGGTCTCGCCGGTAAATTAACCTCTAGCCATTATTATTATTCGATTTGTCTGTAATTGCGTCTCGAGACGAACTCGATGTCGTATTATACTCGTCGTGGTTGCGTAACGTATAATACATTTTGCGGATTAGTACACATCACAATGTAGCGGTACAGCGGTTAAAAAATTGTTACGTAAAGTAAAAGAGATAGCATCGGCGACGTTCGCAAATGGCGTTTGCAAATGGCGCAGCAATTGTCAAGCGAGCATTGCGCTTCCAACAAACGCAAGTAAAAAATTACACAGAAATCAAAAAATACAGCGCACATTGAGCCTTCGAACAACGGAACAGAAACTTGTTTCAACTTGTCAACATGTTACGCACAAGCTTTAAAAATATAGGTAGATATCAATGTAGGTTATGTTCCGATACATTCGAATTTCTCCTTAATTTCGAGTCAATTTTGTATCGTGGGGTGCTCGTGTAGTGTTGTGTCGTGTTGTATCGAATCAAGTTCAAAACATAAACAAATAACAGGAGAATAATTTCTGATTTTTTTTCTGCAATTATTGAATGTATAGGAACATGATTTGTTATTTTTTCAACTCAAAAACGAAAGAAAAACGTTAACTCAAAACGAAATTTAAAACGAAAGCAGCTGAGCATGGTAGAAATGATAGAAGGGTGTGTCCTACCCTCCAACAATGTGTGATAGGTGGAATTAAGCCCTGTTTTCACCATGCCTGACTGCATCATCATCATACCAACATCTGAAAAAAAGCCAAACCCAAAACAAAACACTTCTCTCACTGTACCACAAAAATCACAATCTGTACAGCAGCCCAAAAAAACCAATCGCAATCGCACGCGCTCGTTTGCGGCAGTTAACTGATAGACAGATAGAGAGAGAGTGAACTGAACTGAAAAATCAATCGTAATCAATGTTCGAAATGACATGTATCGCATGTGGCATGTAATCATGTGGTGTGTGGTTTCATGTGGGGGCGGCGCGACGACGGCGGTTTATGGATGTCGCTGGATTAGTAACGTCTGCGAGCAAAATAAGTTTATGTCATGTTTTAGCTGAGTTTGCACTCAGAGGCGCGACGGGGGAGGATGTTAGTCGAGTGGTTTTCCTCAATAACATGTACTTTAATAATGCGCGTATAAATATAGAAAAAATAAAATAAATTCATAAACATATTAATGTTATTAAAATGGTTGGTGTTGGTGTTTGTGTAAAATTGTATTTTGTAGTAAATTTTTTCGCTTTCCAAGCAATTTTCTTGCTTTTTCCGTTGTAATATCTTTAGAAATTTGTTTATTTAAATTTTGCCGTTCGTTATTGATAAAACAAAAGCCTAGAACCGCATGCATTTAAATATAAATATATAGATAATATATAAATAGAGAAATTTGTGCAGATAAAGAGGATTCAGAATGTGTGTGTCCAAAAAGACATTCCGACAGGCAGAATCTTCATAATTATCAATAAATGTATAATCAACGTGGCAAACCATTAAATCGATTTTACAGAGATAAAACCAACCAACCAAAAAAGAATATGATTTTCAGAGAAATTAAGCCAAAAACGAAACGAAATTCAAGTTTTGATTTAAATTATTTATCCTACGCATTTTTTTCAGAAATAAACTGTAATAATATTTGTTTTAATCAACTACACAAACCCAATGATATGAAATACTGTGACATTCCCATGTTCATCGTGTGATTTAATTTCGAATGCAATATTTAACTAAAAAACATCAAAAATAATCCGCTTTGCAAACTGCTCAGAAAAGTAAAACTGAAAAAACTTATGAAATGTGGAGGAAAATATTACAAATCGAGTGATAACGCCCAAAGCGCCCCATAAACTCAGAAATCCAAATCAAAAATATCAAAAAAACTCCCCAAAAGGAAAACAGGATAAATAGTAGTTATAAGTACAAAAGACTCAAAAGAATAAAATCATAGATATATCGAGCTGATCCATCAAGCATCGGGATCTATAATAATTAATCAGACAGATCTATTATTATTAAATCAATCTGTTCAAATTACCTAGATCATGGGACAACCAGTTACGTTGTTGAACTGCCACTAAAAGTGATTGTTTGTTAATCAAATTGTTTCGATTAAATCAAGCATATGTGTTAGCATCAGTAATTAATTGAATTTGAATCTTTTTTTCACTGTCATTCAAAACACAAAATTAAATACAACCGGTTTTGTGTTTTAATAATTATTCGACGGTCGTACGCGCCCTGTGTAAAACGGATTTATTAAATCGATGCCACTCTTGTTTCCGTCGTCAAGAAAGAAAGGATTATATTATTATTGCTGAGACAGCAAAGTTATGACTTTTAAATAAATATTACAGAAAGTATGAAATCGGATGACTTACAGTTTTTGCATTTACACTTCTTAATCAGCGTTTCGTCCTTGATTTCGTCATGACATGCTTTGCAATAGAACCATGCCCTAAACACAAACAAAACTATTAGTTTTTTTTTAATCATAATCTCACCTTTATCAACTCATTTATTCGTGTGAATTGTGTTTTTGTTAATTTTTTTGATGTTGGATATTTTGTGTCGTGGTTGGAATTGTGCGGTCACCTCTTGACTTCGTCGGCGGATTGCGCAATAAAGAATCCCTGAGTATTTGCCACAATCTTCGCACCTCGAGGATTTATCGATATTTTCGTGTCGGCGCCCTCGCTGCCCTTCACCTCGATCGCCAACAGCAGCAGTTTCAGCTTGGTGAAGCACAACCTGTGAGACAAACGCGCCGAGGAGAAAAAAGAGAAAAAAACAGAGCGTTAATCGAGGATTAGTTATTGAGTAATGGGACGTCAGGCTTGTGCCAAAACGTCCGAAATTGTACAGCAGACAAGCAGAGAAAGCATTCACAGCGAAAGCACACCGCAGAATACATTTCAAGATAACAAATCACATCAAATATTTACATTTACACAACGGATTGATTTTGAAATGTTTTTTGCGATGATATTAACACATTTTTCGAAATTGTAATATCTACTGTGCACATGCGCATTCACTGTGAAACATTAATAAATAAACATTAGGAAAAGCGTGCAAAATTTAAAAGTAAATTATTTTGCGACGCCTTCATAAATTATTAGTAAAAAGCACCCATATTTACAATGTAATATTCATTAGAACTATATATAAAAGCCTGAAATCTAAGTTTGTAGCTTAATTTGTAGCTTAATCTAGGATTCTACTGAATGCTGCTAGAATTAAAGTTGCACTTTGCTAAGTAGTGCTTGAAATTGTGAAAATTTTGGCTAAGAATCATTATTATTAGAAGTTAAATCACGCTAAATATAAAAAATACAATTTATTCAAATAATTTTCCTCAAAATTTTAACTACATCAAACAAATCAGTATTATTTTTACTTAAATTGTATTTTTTTGGTTTTTATTCTAATTTAATCTACAATTCTAAAAAAAAATGGTAGCACTACAAAACCCTGAATATCAAAAACATCCGTCTACACGTCAGCATGGTGTTTAGATGAAAACTTTTCTTATTTTTTAGTTTTTTCTTTGGTTTAGTCTGCTCTGAACACCATGCGACTCGGTTGAAAAACACGCAAAACACAATAACACGTGTAAGTCAAAGATAATAATGTCAAAAAGTTATGTAAATCTAATTAAGATAGCAAACGCTAAAGGCTAAACGTTAAATTTGTTAGAATTTATCATGAAATGTGTATGTGTCCACGAAGTTCTGCATTGTGTTTTTAGTTAAGTCGCAAAATCTCAAAAGCAAGTCAATGAACAACGTTAAATTTTTTAGTCGATTCCAAAACCAAGCAAATACAACAAAGTTAGAAATTAATATTAATAGGAAACCGAGTGAATCGAAGACTTAAACTTTTGTTTGAACTATTGAATGATTGAGAACGGTTTCGACACGTTGCTCGACGTCGAGGACCGACCAAATAGTTTTGAAAGAGTTCGCGAACCGCTATTTCCAATAGGGCTTTAGTCGCGTTTGTTGATTGTGTGCGATTTGTGATTGCGTCTCGCGCGGTGGTTTCTGTTCTGTTTGCGTTTTTCGGTCGGTTTCTGGTTTTCTGATATGAGTATTTGGGAGCTTACTCGCTGGCCTGCGGGAAAGACATGCCCGTGAAGGATGGGGACAGAGTCTCAGTGTACATCTCGCATCCCGTTCCCTGCAGGTAATCGTTCTGCCAGCGTTGCGTGTCGGGGGACTGAAAACACAAATGCAAAACCGCCACATTTCACACAAACTGAAAAACACGTTGAGGTACACGCTACTATTTCATATCAGATGAGAATCACGTCCACAGTCAAAACATCCGCCTGAAAGTGGGAATAAATTTTGTTATATACGCCCTGTATGTGTTAGTGAGGGTAGTTTTTGGTTCTGTTTTGTTTTCGAACACAACTATTTGTGCAACTTTTCAATTTAACTTTGTAATCCCGCGCGCGCAGTGACCGCTCGAGTTCTAACCTTTAAACTAGTTTTCGAATTCGATTATAACCTTAGTTGGCGTCTTCTCAAGCATGCTGTAAATGTTTTGCTATAAAATAACTAAATTGTAATAAGCTCAGAATGTCATTAAGCTTCACTGTAAGAACGAACCAAGGATATATAGACCAACAAAACAGTCACAACGACACCAATAGCAGATTTGTGTACGTTGAAAAAATGACAAAAGCGATTGCACAAACTTTTTCCTCGCGACTCTTCGCCGCCCGCGTCGAATGCAAATTTGTAAATACAAAATGCGCTCAAGAGTAGGATCCTCGGCTGAATAAAAACGTGATAATTGTTCCGTGAAACGCGCTTGCTCGCCCGCCTCGGTTTTGTTTTTTGTTTGCTCATTTAGATTTTAATTAACGCCTTGTCTCGACGTGCAGGTTTCGAAATTTTACCATCAACGGACATTTAATAGGAATACTACTCTATGTGTGCCACAACAAAAACCATCAAACACGTACACGTGATGTTAATCGGTCTGGCAAACGGGTTCAAGTATTACAAGAGTTAATATTCAAACATGAATTCAAATTCAAATTGTTTGCACTGCATGGATGGGTGTGCTGATTGATTTATCCAAAAACAAATTTTGATCCGAGTACAAAATAAAGAAAGACAACAATGATAAGCGAGTATTGCACAACACGAAATAGTAATAGAAATTGTACGACACACGTCAGGTCGACAAAACTGCGTTTTTTAATTTTTTTAATTTTTGGTTATGTGAGTTGATGTTGAGAGCAAACCGGATGCAAGAATGTTTGCTCAAAACGCTTAAAGGTTGGTGGAGTGTTGTGTGAGAGATGGAGGGTTTTTTTGGCGCGTGCGGGCGGACGCACTTACTCGGTGGCCTGAGCGAACGGCATCCCTATAAACGAGGGACTCAGTGTTTCAGTGTACATCTCCATGCCCGTTCCCCTCAAATAGTCATTGGTCCACACCTGCATGTCGGGCGACTGCAATCAGCATTAAACGGTATTTATATCATCGACAGCTCGTGGTGCTGCACATGGAACACTCGATATCATCGGCGCGCTCACGGCGGTGGTTTATATGGCTTAGATATTAACGAAATGGGCGAGAGTGAAGGGTAAACGGAAATGCTGATACATACGGTTTTGAACGAGCGCATGGCGAAGAGATTGGCCATCATTGTCGAAAAACCAGGCGCCAGGCACGATTGAGCAATGAAACCGAGCTTGAGCTCCGCCAGGCAGATCACATCGTCGCCCTGCTTCCAATCCCACGATGGAATGTTCAGTAAATATGCCTGTATCACACAAATAGAACCATTATTGTATATTAAGCATCAAGTGCTTTAAAGTACTTTAGTCACGGTCGTAATTCAAGTAGCATTTTTTATGTTTCAAAACCGTGAAAAAATGGCGGTTTAAAGATGAAAGTAAAAAAATAGTGTATTAAGTATCAAGTGCTTTAAAGTGCTTTAGTCACGGGTGTGATTAAAGTGCCACTTTTCATGTTGCAAAACCGTAATAAAAATGACGATTTAAAAGTGGACTTATATTAAGTATCAAGTGCGTTAAACTGCGTGATTAAAGTACTTTAGTCACGGACATGACTAAAGTGCACTTTTCATGTTACCAAAACGTGATAAGTTGTAAATTATCATTCGTGTAAATGATTTATATTCACCTTATTGTGATACTGCATGAGTTGAATGATGACCCGAATGTCGTCGCTATAATTCTTGATTGAAATAACGCGCATAATGTTGGCGGCGTCCTCGGCGTCAGGATCCTGGCAGTATTTGTTGGCTAATACTAGGCACGCATCGGCTTCGTGTACCTGTGAGACGTGGTCGGAAATAAATCATTAGACCTACTGCACTTGTAAAACAAGCGCGCGCACGCCGCTCTCCACCGATTAATAACTTTAATTAAAACTGGCGCAGCTGATTAATTGCTCCCCGAGCACCACGCATGCCGGCCGTAAAAAGTTAGAAAATCTGGTCGAAAAGCAACGCGCTTTTTACTTTAATCATCTCATCAATATTGATATCTCAGTCGCGTTCGAATGAAGCATTCGCGAGATAAGAATATTGAATTGTTGAAGAATCAGTTATTAATATGATGGCATAGTTGTTTTAATAGTTTTTAATTTAATCTCAGTTCAAGTTCTAAAAATGCGAAACTACGTAATAAATGCAACTGCTAAGTACATCAGTAAAAAACGATCAATCGTATAATAAAAATGTTTCAACTACGCATTACGTTCAGCAATCGCTCATCATGCAAGTTTCTAGGGATAACACATTTCGCAAAAATTGATCGAAATTGTCGACAAAAAACGGATGCGGATTGATGCTGCTCACTGTTTGCGCTAGTTATTGCAAAATACGAATGGAAGTGGTGCAGATATTAAATTGAAAAATATTTGATATAAGATATACCTAGCCTCCTTTCCAAGTTTCAGAGTTGTATAGTTTATTCAAAAGTGGATGTGTTTGAGAAGTACTTATTTGATAAAAAATCAAAAAGGTTCAAAACCACTGTAGGCATGAAAACTGTTTTTGAAAAATTATAAAAAAATGTTATTTGAGTTTAAATTTTGAAATTCGCGCCAAAACGCTTGATGCACTTCCCCACCTAACCTCACTCTTCTACCCGTTGGGGAAGTGACGTCAATGTTGAGGTGTGCGCTCTGATTTGTGTTCTAAATATCTTGGCACGGTACTAAGAAAGAATTAATACGTGTTCTGAATTCTATGACTCAAGTATCATTAAATAAATCATAATTTTGGAGAGTTTCGGCAACAGTCATCATACCTATTGGCGTATACGATGCGATTCAGCTGTTCCCATCAATTTCGACGCGTGTAATTTCGAATTTTGAATTACGCTTTGGCGCACCGAAATATTTTTAGCAAAAGTTGATGCTCACCGGCTATAAACAGAATCGCAATCATTAGATCGTTATCGCAGGGTATACGCCGGCTTTCCGAACCTTTCGCGCTTCTATTTCAGTCACTTCAGTAACTTCGGTTGCATTTGAAACAAGGTCAAGTATATCCATAGTCAGCCCGATGGCGTTTTGTTTCTGATGATGTGATGTGTGTAAATAAGCGTTTGCTCGCTGTGTTCGTGTGATGTTGTGAGTTTGAGGGTGAATTTAGTACGCAACTTGCTACTGGTTTACTGATTTCATTCCTGATGGGCTTTGATTTTGTTGAACATGTCGGAGGCTGGCAAGAAAATCAAAAACGGAACAAAACTGAACAAATCAACGGCATGCCATCAAAATAACGTTGCAGTATTAGTTACGTCTTAAGAGTATATACCCATGTGGTGGCCGGAGATGGTTGGCGCCGCAATTATCGTCGAAAACAATCAAAAAGAAGGAAACGAAACAAAAACGTATTTTGCTAGTGAGGCAGACACGATAAACGCCAATAAAAGAGGCCGACTTACCACGCAACAGTGTGGCCCTTCGTCATTCGGGAACGTTAGAGTGTTTACAACCTAGAGCTAGGGGTGGGGGTTCGGTCGGGGCATGTCCTCCGCCGATACAGATCGAGATAGTGACAACGACAGGGTTGAAGAAATACATATAGAGACAGAGAGCGGGAAGTACATCGACTCCAGGTTAGTCATTCTGCACCTGGTCTTTGGGTCTCAATAAAACTGCTTCGTTGACAACTTCAACATCTTACCTTTGACCGCATCTAGTCATCTAGACATCAGTTATTTACAACATTGAGCATTGCCCGCCCGCGATCACAAAATAACATCATGTTTTACTGTTTTGATTGTCGTTGCTTGTTTTTAGATTGATTAGCGTTGTAAGTTAGAACAGAAAAACATAGAACAGATACCCATCGACCAGACAATCAGTCATCAATTCAGAATATATGTAAAATACACGTAATATCGTAATATCGAACACAGTCTCATGTCATCACAGTCTCGCATCTGCGCGCAAATCGCTTAGTGAGAAGAGCATCCTTACCTTGACCCTCTGCAGGTCAATAGGGTTCATGATGGTACCCTGGAAGAATTCTACGGTAGTGAAGTGTCTCTTGAAGAGACCTTCCAGTTCTAGGTCAGGCGGTTTCCTGCACATCCCAATAGTTTACAAACGAGAACAAATCAAATGCTACTAAACAACAAAACGAAAAGTAGTAAAAATACGTAATTCGTAAAGACGACCTTTGTGACTCCTCCATCACTCTCCTGATTTCCGGAACTCCATACGCCGGCGGCTCCTCAAATATACTGCATGCAGTTTTAAATATTTATATATAGAAATGAGATAATAAAGGCAAATATGTAACGTAGCTAATCCAACTACTCTGCAAGAACAAGTTGACCGGCCACTTCCAACTCTAACCTCAAAACCAACCGCAAGAATTTAACTTTTGAGCATTCCGACAGTTCTAAAGCGTTCGTGGTTAGTTTAGAAGTTAGAGTTGCATGCTGGCTACGTCCAAGAAATCATAGTAAAAAGGTGCGCTCTGCAGGTATATTGTAAAAAAGAAGCAGAAAATGTAAAACACACGAACGAATCCGAGATGATAATATTGTTTAATGCGCATGTTGGCAGAAATTTTTGGGTTTTGATTTGTTGATATACCTTGACACGTTCAAGGTCAACAGCGTTCATCATCGATCCCTGAAAAAACTCCACCGTCGTGTAGTGACGCTTCAGCAGGCCCTCCAGCTCCAGGTCAGGCTCCTTTCTACAAAACGTAATCGGAGCGAAAGAACGCACAAAAAACCATCAACAAAACATTCAACAATATCGCACAATTTGCAGAGAAACAAAATCAATATTGGTACAATCATTAAGTAGTTTTTTTGAAAACATTTTTCAAAATTGAAAATTTTCGATTATAATTATTTGAAAATTGTTTCCAAATAACTAACACTGATGGATATAATTGATTGAACGTACCGATGCAGAAAGACAACCTCAACGTCAACATCTTCTCTGTCTTCGTGAAGAAAGTCCTTTAGAAAATGTGAGACCGACTCGTAGGTGATATGTCCACAGACCACAATATGCCTGAACTCAGAAACAAGAGCATTAGTAACACATCCCAACAAAAATATAATATTTGTGCAAAAACCAACAGCCATTTTGTTTGTTTTTAACCTAAAAAAATTTATTCAATGGCTGGTGATTCCTTCATAAAATACCATGTGGAATCGTCTAGTTGAGATCAAAATATACTAAAGTTTTAAGTCCATGATGCTCATGCTGTTAATAAAAGTTATCAAACACTACATGTTTAAGTAAAAAGGTAAGTACAATATGTAAACCCACAAACCAAAGTGAAACCATAGGAAATCAATACTAATCTACGTCACCTAAGAGAGGTTAGAAAAAAAAGGTCTTCTAAATGCAAATTGATCTAAGTATATTTAGAAAATTCATTCGGCTGCCTCAGAAGTTTGCATTTAGACGTGTTCAAGGATTAGTTATTCGTGATTACAATCGGATTCAATGCAACGCAGTGCTTAAGTTCATAATAGGGTTATCAACCGACTACGAAAACGTAAAAACCAAAACGAAATCGATTTCGAACAACGCACGTCACGCACACACTACACACAAATCTTTTTCTTTTTCTTTTTTTTCAGTTTCCTATCTCGGCTTGCTCAACGCATAAATCACGCGTGTGGGAGTAGTAATTAGCGTTTGTTTTAGTGCAACTACTTTGTTATCATCGCCAGGTGATGTTACACAAAGCAATTTTGAATTTATTTTGATTCACAATCACTTTGTATAACTAAAATTGGAAAAATTAAAGGAAAACATGTGATGGGTGAAATTCAAATTGAAATATGATTCGTTAAAGACACGCTCGATTTTTTTTATCACAATTGGGAATAATACAGATTGTTTTAATTTTTCAGAAATGAAATAATATTGCATTCCGTTTCTAATGCCTAAGTGGAAACATAACGCTTCAAGAGATTATCACAGGGTAAACGTTAAGAGAAAATATATTACAGGGTGTTAACGCCTGATGTGCACACTGCCTGGCCGCGCATCACAAAACCGTTCCCGGATCATATTCATTCGGTCTTATTGGTGATTATATCTGATTCGTTTAATTCGTTTGAGGAGCACGCGCATGCGTACATGCAATGATTCACTCTGATATTAATTTTTATTTTGCTTTGCGTGATAATTTCGGCACCGATAGATTGTATTAGACAATGGCGTAAAAACGTTGACAAATAAACACATCGAAAGGATTTGTTCCAGGAAGAGATTATATTAAATGTAAGAAATTTATAACAGGACGTACGAAGCGTGCAGGAGAGGAAGTGAAAGGTGGACATTAACGAAAAACACACCAGTCGTTCATGAAACTCTATACCGCTTATTATACAATTTTGTCGTAGCAAAAAAATTGATTTCTTTTTCAATAAAATTTTATTATTTTTAGCTAGGACATGCTTGTATAATACTACACTACAACAAATTGCGCGCGGTAACATTACGCCTCCAATCATTAATCAGAAAACGATTATGTGACAAAAAAGTAAATCATAACGCAAAAAACGTAAAAGAACGAGGAAATCAAATGGAAAGTGTGTGAACGGAAACGTAAAACAATTGGGTTCATGTCAAGATGAAACTAGCGAGTGTTATATAATATTCAACAGTAATATAGAGATTCTCATCATCAACGCAAAAGAAACAACGAAAAAAATCCAAAAATAAAACATTGGTATTCTAGGATCTTCTCACCTTCTGCCTCTTTCGTTCTTCAAGGTGCCACCATATTTTGGCCTAGTCCCGATCAAGTCAATAATCTCGGGGATACAACTGGCAAATATCGCCTAGAAGACGCACCAGCCAGAGGGACAGACAATTAGCAAAATCAAAATCATGTTCGTTCGAAACAGAGGCACAAAGGAAAACAAACTAGTAACTGTTAGCTCCAGTATTTAAGTATCTAACGTGGGGTTCTCTTTTGTTTGATATGTTGAAATGAGCAGTTCCTAAGATGAAATCAAAACAATAACGCTACCATTCTCGTGAGACTTGCTCTTTCTCATTGAATTTGAATTTTGCTTGGCTTTTCACTTGATTGTTTTTTTTTTTTTGCTGTAAGCTAAAGAATGTAGGGCGACATTTGGAGGACGTCGGTGTGCGTAAGGCAAAGGGCTTGGGTTGTGACGGACGGATGGGATGTGGTATTGTTATTTTCATTCGTTATCATATCTTATTAATAATAATCTAATTACACAACAAAAACAGTCCACAGTCCAATTAGAGGAGCCTTATAGGTCTTCGACGCACACGTTACTTTTCCACCGGTAAATTTTGCCCTAATTGTGTGTTGATGTCGAGAAAATAAAACAACAACGTAACCAATTGCTATCGTGCGATAAATCTCTCCGATCGAGCGCGTAATGAGGGAGAAACGGCAGTAAACGAGCTTAATTACGATAAATCGTTATTTGCTTGCCGCTGCGTCTTCGGACGTACGCGATTCTTTTTTTGCTTTCACGTGTTTGCCTCGCAATGAATGAAATAATTCGAAAAATGATTAGAAAAATCAAACGCAAAAAACACTTCAAACACCCAGCACATTCGCACGAGTTGAGAGCGCGGCCTTGCGTGGCGCTAGCAGGCTGTGCGGGCTCTAATTCAGTTCGCAGGAATTCTCAAAAAACAACTCAAAAACACAACCAAAATGAAAAGAACGACAAAACAACGAACGCAACACTTTCAAGTAAGTCAAAAAGGGGGTGCTCTACTACTTGTACTGCAAATACTCTGCAAATATACTAAAAAAACTCGTTCTTCAGCTACGGATTCCAAATATATATAAATATATGGTAATATAGGGCCAGCTATGCACGTAACTTCTAACCAGGCTTATCACTCATCCCATTCTGTATGCTCTTTCCAACAAATCCCAACAACAACAACAACAAACAACAACTAAATTGACCAGCGCCCGTTTTACTTATTTTTCATATATCGAATCATATTTTCTGTTTTGGTTGAATTCTAATTTGATAGGAAATTTTGGAACAACGGTGTCAGGGAGAATATGTGAAAAGAATGACGATGTCAACCGGATCGTAACTCTCGTTAGTTATATGTGATATGTTGATTAGTGGATTAAGCATACAGAATGCAGTCCAAAAACTCAATAATCCGGCAGCTATGCACCCATAAGCATGCCAAAAAATGAACTTCTAAGTAAAATGTGATTGTTTGCTTGTTGCTATGCGTTTGTCCCAAAAAATCATAAAATTAATCAAAACCAAAATATTAATATTCACATAAATATGTTTTGTGTCTGCACTGGTTTCTATTAATTTCAGTTTTCTGGAACAAACTGAGGTGGAAACGCTCATAATATAGTTGCGGTCACAAAAATATTACCCACGAAACAAGCGGGGTGCGATGAGAGAGAAAGGGTGTTCTAGCACGCGGATCCAAATCTTGATTAAATTTTGATTTGTGTGCCAATGTTTTGCGGTCAATTGCGCAGATAATAAATTTTTTTTCGTCTGTTCGCTACAGGGTAACATTTTTTCCCAAACTCATATATATGATGATGCGTATCAAGGGGTATCAAATGGAATGTAATGTAATATAGCGCAAAGCATAACCCAAGTGCTACAAGGTATATAATAGTATACATTATTTATATACATATAATATAATCATATGTATACAATATATATAAGAAGGTAAAGGCAGCGACATTCCTCGTGTTATATCAACCACATGTACGCAACATATTGGCCCATATGGTAATAATATAATCGGTTATATTATTGCACATCTTGTTGTGAGGTATATATGTATATATATATTTATAAGTATATAGATATAGAGAGAGAGGTATTCGGGGGCTGTACCTGCGTCGCACATCTTTGCTGTACTTTCCGGCATACTTGGGTCGATTTGCAGCGAGCTCAGTGATCTCCGGAATCCAGCTGGCAAACACCGCCTAACAACCCACACACCCATCAGGCTCCTCGTTTAGGACCCAACAATTCTACTACTAGATACAACTAGTTGGATACACACTACTTGACAAACTCGTATCGCTACTGCTTAAAGATAAGTTGTTGTTGATAAGTTGCCATTTTTGTAATTGCATTGGTCCAGCAAGTTAATTGTTTATTCTTCAATTTGTTTTAGTTTTGTTAGTTTCTTCTGGGATTAGAAAAATAAAAGTGTCATGTCACTAATTCTATCTACAAAGAATAACAAGAGAGAAATATGAAACGAATTACCAAAAATCAATTTTACAGACAAGACACAAGAGAGGTGGGTGCAGAATTACAAATACTAACAGTGTGGTAAAAGATTCCCAAATTTTACAATAAAAATAGTAATATAAAGATATAAAGATAGAGAGAAATCGCGCCAGCGGACGAACAAAGAACACGATCGATCGTTATTCGATTAGTGGTGCGCTACCAAAGAAATTAGAGAGCCCAATTAATTTAATTAGTGCAGCCATCTTTGCATCATTACGTCATTCGTTAATTAGTGTAATTTATTTCGCTTCAAAGTTTTCTTTTGGATTCGATGTGTGCGTGCTTGTAACATGTGTGTGAGTGTTCGAATTAAATTCTTTTCAATTTTTTTTGCTTTATTTTTAGACCTTCTATGACGCAGATCCATCCATTGTATTTATTTTTTGTAATAATAAATAATGTACCTTTTTCCATGTTCTCGCTTGTACTCGCCGCAGTATTTGGACCTAGTTCCTACAAGATCTATAATCTCTGGAATGCTACTAGCAAAAATTGCCTGCAAATACAAGTTAATGCAATTTGTTCAATTTTTTTTTCTTTTCAAAAGTTTGAAGCTTGTAATGTTTGAGTTAGTGAGTGGTATAAGAGTAAGATTGAGTGTAGAATTGTGTGAAATAAAATAACATCTAAAGCTGCGCATTATTTGTCGCCTGGACGCAGAAAAGAAGAAGAGAAGTCAAGAATATGAAGCATGTAAGCCGCCATAGAAGCACACCAATAAGCGCATGCGTACGGCCAGCCGTCAAGATCAACACCACTATTAGAAGTTCAAAAAATTAAATGAATTCACGCTAATTACAGCAATGCTAGTAGAGTAATCAAGAGCCAAACATTTACCAACACAATTACAAATATGCTGAGTATGTAGAAGAGTAGAAAGTATAAGAAATTAACCCGAAACGTAAAAAAACAAAAATGGTAATCATTATTTTTAGATACAAAGATACAGAAGCACATTTACTCATGACACAACAACGTGATATGTAACAAAATACCTAGATAATTAATTGTATCCCATATCAGGTAGGTAAGTATAGTATTTTTTTGATTTTTTTGCTTTCTTTGCTTTTCTGGGATTGCACGTGAGGGATGTTCAGTTCATTGCACACACGTTGAACGAGAATAGGGACGGCATGTCATTGGACGGCATTGAATGATTTTTGGATGTGTGAACAGTCATTTTTCTTTACAGCAACATCGAATGCGTGTCTTCATGTCACCGTCAAAGCGGTCAATTGCCTTTAATACGGCGTATATCGCGACACATGAAGATTTTCATAGAAATTTTTCGAATAATTTCGGAATTAAAACATGAAAATTTTTTGCTAGCAAGCGCACTTTCCACTAGGCGGCTGCTCACACAAAAACATAGATACAACTCAATAAAAAAAGAAAGAGAGATAGCCAGAATGGGAGATTATTCTATATCTTAAACTTTTGATTGTTTTTTTTTTTTTGCAAAATTATTCGTATTACTCAGGGGGATGTAATTTAAGAGTTAAAAGAGATATCAGCGTCACTTACCAAGCCGACGAGCAGGAAGAAAACAAGAAACGTTCGACCCAGTACGGTGTGACAGTACACGTCACCATAGCCGACGGTGGACATCGTGACGATGAGAAAATAGACGCACGTCCAGTAGGGCAACGGTTGAGGGTTTTGAAAGTCTAAAGGGTCGCCCGAGTTCTCAAGCTAAAAAAAACATCGCAATCGCAAAACACAAGTCAGTACGGCGTTAATTCCCCCCTTAACACTCAAGGAGCAGTCAGTGAGTTAGTAATCTTTCATTATCATCATCATCATCATCATCACCATTCTCAGAAGTTTGATTTTTAGATTTTTTTAGACTATTAATGAACACTGAGATAGAAATAGTGAGATTGTCACACTTGAAGATTTAGTAGAAAGAGATTTTGGTTACGAAGACGACTAGAAGGTCTATGCCCTAGCTTTGCGATGCGTCTCTTCTTGGTTAGCCAGTTTTGTAAGCCGTTGCATTCACCTCTGAAGTAGACTCCGCGTCAACGGAGAGGTATGTTAAACGCATGAAACCGATCGGAGCGAACGTATGTCTGTCATATACCATAACCTTAATTCTGTTACCCTTGGTTGTAAGTGCGCATGCGCGCCTGCTCTCATTCACCTTTGACACGACATCGTCCGCGTCCGTCAGTCATCGTTTATGCGCATGTGATACGCCCCTCTCCGCACGGTCTACTTGAGCGGAAAATATCGCGGGCGTACTTCTCCGCACAATCGCAATGAATTGGACATACATAGAACTTACCAGATGAATAATTCCAGCGGCAGTAAGCCACACGGATATAAATATGGACACTAACTGAGCAAGACGTATAGAGCTGGAAGTTTTAAGTATGTTCAAGTACTGCAGGATGTCCGGTACTGTCATCAAACGCAAAGCACGAAGAAAACGAAGACCTGAAAGTAAGCGTCAATCAATTACGCCATCAACAGCGGGCGGTGGCGCTCGTTCTTCGGCTCATTTTAAACTCAAGCGCGTCTGGCATTGATGGATGGCGCATTTTGATTCAATTTTAATTACAAGCACTAAATAGTTTTTAATATCGGATTGTATTGTGATTAACACGTTGTCACATTTCAACGTGGGTTAATAAGTTTCCTATTACCGCACCTGTCTGCCTAATGTAATTATTTGCCTCGACGACTAATAAACGCCGTTATTAAATCGATATCCGTCTAGCAACGCACTCTAGATGTCTAGGTGTCTATAAATGCTGACAGATTTGCGTGCACGTCACGGCGCCATAACATGTCGCAAACATTTGTTCGAACGAATTTATCACTCACCTGAAACGCCATCTAGACATGCGAATGTCGTACTATATGCCATAACCTCAACTCCCCGATAATTTTATCAAATTTTATGGTGACACCTGTTCAATATAGCGATGCCATCCATCATGCTAATTACTGGACACCTGACAATAATCGTCATTGTGTATTATTCTGTGCGCACACAATATTTTTGTTGCCGTGTGACATGGGCTGCACATAACAAAACAACGAATGGAAAGGAATGTGTATACAAGGAAGTAATACGTGTTGCCTACAGAAGATATTGCACGCGCATGTACTTACATACCTAACCTGAGTTTTGTAGAAAGAAAATCAAACAAAACGCTTCAAATTCGTCTAAAATTGTTGTAGATATTTGTAGATTTTGTAATAGGTGTAAACTAAGAGGCACTTACCTTTGCACTCATTGTTTTGCTATGGTTTCGCGGATTAACGAGAGGATTCCAGACGTGAAATGCGAGCGTCGTACGAGCGACCGGGTTCTTAAAACTATTTCTTCAATAGTTACCTATCCACGTGCGATCCAAATAAATCGAAACGAAGGACGGGGGTATCGTGAAATAGTCTACGAATGAATACATTTCTAGCATGAACCATAACTTATCGCTAGCTGCTATAAACTGCAACAGACATAGAAAGACATAAATAAATTTTCTATTCTTTCAGTGTGACATTGAAAATTATCAAGTAATTACGAATCGGCCATTGTCCAAATGACTTTTTGTTACATGTTCGAGGACTTGTAATGATTTGCCCGGCTGGAAACTGTGTGAATAGGCCAGACGCGCAATTAAAACGTCGTTAACCGTCCTCGCCAATGTAAGTGAATCGCCAACACGCGCAGATCCATAAGATATGAAAGGGAAAAAAAGCCGCCCCAAATACTTACTCGTATAAAAAAATAGACCATAAAAAATATGTTGAAGGCAAGGTCGATCTGTTGCGTGATATTGTTGCTCCACTCCTGGCAGCGTTCCACGCCGTCACTGGAAACAATAAGAAACAAATGAGCACGGTGAAGAAAAGAAAAACTTTTGTCAAGGATTTTCTCAGCTACAGTATGTCCTAACTCTCGAGAAACTCTTTGGATACTACGCAGTTTTAGTAGTTCAAGTGTTCAAACACTCGAAGCTTTATTGTGATAATTATTTATCCGCCTTTTTGGGTTTTAACAGCTTACGGGGAAACTAAAGCGGCCACAATCCATGCGGATCATTAGAGGGCGCGCGGAACATTAAGATACGCCCTGATGGGGTGAGTTTATCGCAAAAACATGACGCTTACTATAATGTCCACTATAACAAGAGATATAGCAGGCAATTTTAAATACTCGTTATGCGCTGAGCGTAATTTTATTCGAATTGTCACAAAATCATTTCAATTTTATGAGAAGAGTTATAAAATTTTGAAATAAAAAATAAAATTGCTCATTTATCTAGTAATGTGATGACACAAATCTCATGCATGACTAAACAGCGTCTACTTACTTTGAAGCATCGATGAAGTATATAATCAGCGACGCGATGCTTAAAATAAACACGAGAACGACCTGAAAAATAAACGATTTCATTAATTTTCGTGCCACACATTTGCGTGCGTGAATATTAGTTGGATGGGGAAATTGTGAAAGCGAATTTATTTTTCAGTTTTAATATTCAGTGCGGGAACAATGAATGGACGCGCAATTGTGATGCAAATTAAGAGACTTCTAAGCTCTCCGAAGAGTCAGAATATCAGACTGTTATACAATATGTTCAAAAATATATTTTTTGAATCCAAATTTCTATTCAAAATGTTTTTGGTGTAGAAATATAACTCAGGTAGTAATTTTCTTCAGTTGGTTTAGTTATATATTTAGCACTTGGAGTGCGTTTCGGGTAGTACCATTAATTACTAAGGGAATTTGCGAATTCTGAGCCTCTGCGCGACGCCGCCATGAATACAATTACGATTCGCAGGCCGTGCTGTTGCGCGCTTACAATTTATGCCTTCCACTTTTAAGTCCGCGCGCACAATTCTCAATCCTCCAAACGACCTCTCCGCCAGCGCCTTCCTTCCTACAATTGCATTTAACACATCGTTTCCAATATTTTACCGCACCGCCAACGATATTAAAACGATGTTAGGTATACAATGACTTGATTTATAGACCGTATTCGGTAATATGAGTAATAATTGTGTTTTTTGACACGTTGGAAAATGATTCACAGGCTTGTCTTATCGATTGATTTAAGTTTAACTTCTCGGAAAGTTCTCAACAAGAGTTGAACTCGAAGAGGATCTGAAGTGGGAGTTCAGAATGAGCCTGCGCTTCGAACAATAGGAGTTTCTGGACGAGCGTCCTTATATACTATATAAAGTTTGAAGTGTGGCATTGGTATTGTCGTTTATAAAAATTTAAAGTTAATGTTTTTAATTTAAATATCAAAAACTAATTTGATTTATTTTTGATTTTGTTTTGTGTGAGTAAAAATTCGGCGACAATTCGTAGTTGGTACGTGCGCACACAGTGCACGCATCGGAGTGGGGCTGAATGAGGGTTGCCCGCTCCGCAGGATACTGGGTCAGGAGTGTATTGATCCTCGACCCATATCGCGCCGATGCTCTTCCACAGGCTGCCGCCGCCACCAAAGACGATGCGTGTGAGTTGGTGGGTGCTCAACTGCCGTTTTCCAGCCATTCATAATTCACGCCATGTGCGAGAGCGCGCGCGAACTCACATCAGCATTTCTTATTCGCCCATAAACGTGCGATGGGTGTCGTATGAGTCCGGAAAGGATTCTATGTACCAGAGCTACCCAGTGCGCTGGTGCTGGGCTACTTTGAAAGACGTTGGAAATATGTAAATTGTTAGATTACAAAGGAGCGCGCTTGTAGGAGGCGTTCGATGTCGAAGATTAAAGTGTAGGAAGAATCGACGACGAGCTGAAGGCGTAAGAAACGCCCGCATTTATCTGTCAATCGAGCCGAATGATTGATTTACGCTTGCCGCCGGTAAAAAGCTATAATGTGTTTTTATGTGCGTGGAAAATCCCTTGGTAGAAAGGATGATAGCACTCATTCCAGGCGCGCAATTTACAAGCATGGAAATTTTATGCGAATTAAAACGTTTCTTTGATTATATCACTTTTATGTTTGAATCTGGTTGTATTCCAAAAATAAATCACAACTAACATGTTTGTGTTCTTGTTTGAGTTTCCCAAATCTACGCCAATAACTTTTTGCCCCCATTTTTTGGCAATCTAACGTCTAGGTCAATAACCGTCACGTGGAGTTGAGCAAAAAAAAAAACACCCGCGCCAGACAATAATTTATGACCGCACGTTTGCTGGTTAGTATTCGCAGACATCACACCTTGTGCATGAAGCACGAAAGGGGAGGCACTCAACCCGGTCGGATTCGATGAAGTAAGACCGACGCCCACATCCGCGCCGTGCGTAATGTGATGAAAACATATTTGCGGGGATAATCCATGAATCCTTGACTCGGCGGTGAAACCTTCTCAATTCGAACGTGATGTGCATGCAACAACTGTTTTTTCTCTATTGGTTTTAGTTTCTGAGATAATTGAAATAGAAATAGAAATATCAAGAAAAATGGGAAGAACCTTTATTTTTACAAATTTTTATATCTAGTCTTATAGAGAATTTCCCGTAGATTAAGAATCTTCAATCCGTTCCTCTTTATCACTTTAAGTTTAAGAGATATTCGCGTACGAAAAAAAAAATCAAAAAAAAAACATGAAAAAAAGGCTTCTTTTAGCATCTTTAATCACTCTTTCCGAATATTTACTCCCCGAAATATATTTATTTTACAATATTTCCTAATAAAGAATTTTCTAAAGTTTCCTATTCATCAATCCGTTCTACTCTATCACTTTTAGTAACCGAGATAATCACCATTGAAAAATCAAGAAATGATTTTTGTTATAATCAATGTTTGATTTCGAAATTTTCATGATTTATCTAATAAATAATTTCACAAGGATTCAGAATCTTAAACAATTCATGTTTTAAATGAATTAATACTAAAAGTCTCGGAAAATTTTGCACTTATGAAAAAAAAAATGCGAAAATTGTTGCGTCACAACAGATTTAAAATTTACATGCGAAGCTTTTTGGGAGCGAAAAATATTTCAATGTCAGAATAACAAATAACGCCAAGATTTACCAAAGAAAACGTGTAAAGAAAATGTCCGCAATAAGCCGCTGCAAATGTCAGACATGAAACATAACATCACGTAACATATTCCATAATAAAACACGTGAATATAACCAGTATTAAACTACAAATAAAGCCTAATTTTTGACCTGATATGATAAATTTGCACATAACTTAACATATATTATCCACTAGCCAAAAATAACCTTGATAACACTTCTTCTTCCGCCTACTTTATCTCCTCATATGCAAACAACGTCAGTGTAGGTCTAGGACGAAACACTAGGGCCGTATATGTGCAAAAACATATTCTCCAGTATAATCCACAAATCCCGCCAACATCCTCGACATATATTTTCGGTTAGTGCTCAGTTGGAACGTGACAAGAATATTAAATAAAGGACAATTTGTAAGCTGGCCGGCGCTACTCCTTTAATAAATTTCGTGATGAAACACTAGTGTTGCCATAGATTTCCGGATATAAACTATGCATAAACACTTGCAACGCGTTATTAACCATAACAACTCCAACTCCACTCCGTCCTTTCTTCCACCAAACTGACAAAAGATAAACAAACAAAATTTATCTCGAAAGCACGATGAAAGCCGAGGCCGAGGCTGAGGCTATTCTACGGAACGCAGGACGAATTGCGACGGAGAACTTAATTCGTTTAACTTTGCTGCCGGAAAGTTCGTCGACGGGTGCGACGTGCAACGCGCACCGGTTATCCTTTATCCAGGCGCTTCATTCTTTCGACCTCTGAAAGAGTTGAAAGTGTTGCGCGCGTGCTGATTGTGCTTTCGCAGTTTCTTCGCCTTTCTTTAAACGTGGAAATGAAAACGATTGAAACTCAACGCCGCAAAAAAGGGTCTCACACGGAAATTTTGCGTGGAGTTGTTTGCAAGAGATGAATTCGAATTTTGCTGGATTCCGTCAGGCGTAATAAGAGTTATTAATGGATATACCTCGTAGATGGAAAGCTCCTTCCGACGACGTACACGAGAGGATCACGTAGAGGATATTGCCGCTCGTAAAATGGTTCGGTTTTATTAAAATCGCACGGAATCACGAATCCACTATTAAAACGTAATTTATTGGTGCTTCGGACGGGTTTTATTAGAAGTTTTTGTGTGTTATGAGAAGACAAATAAACTAGCTCTTCCCGCCGCTTGCTGTGGCACGATTTATAAAGAAGCGTTTTTATCATGTCATATCCGATGAGATATTGCTATTGCTATTGTATTTCTTAGGAAAAAATTTACAAACGATAAAGATTAATGGTTTATTTCAAATGTCAAAATGAAATCTTTATCTAGTGTTATTTACTTTGTATTGCTTAAAACTTTAGATTGTTAAATTTCCAGTCGTAGATCATCGAAAGAATGAAAACGCAATTTGTTGAAACCGCTATCTGGAGCGTAAAATATTTTCCTCGGGCGCTCGTTTTTGCTGCAAACTTTTATAAAACCTGACGTCCCGTCGCGCAGCAAGTCGTTTTGCTGCTTGCTTGGTTGCATGCATCGCGCTGCTTGCCAAAAACCGTCAAAGCATATCTACTAAACTCTAAACAGTTCACCACACGTAAAAAAACCTAACTGGAGGACAGAATTAAAAAACGCACTTTGAAAAAATAACTTAAATTATTAATCACTTTGCGGGTAGCCAGCAAGGCAGCAAGATCAGACGCCGTGGAATGTCGGCTATTTATGGAAACCTGTCAAAATCTATGGCGACTGTATGCCTCCAGTAGCAAAACCTTTAAGTTACGAGGGCTCCGATGCGTCTACAATTTTTTCATCGTCAAGATTTGTTGCTGGCGGCGACTTTGGCAACGCTCAGCGTCCGGAATTCCCACTTGGCGAGCACGCGCTAATCGATGAGCTCAGTAGCAACGCCAAGAACTCACAGCGTGCGGAAAAGTTGGATAGAAACGCAAACTTTGTAAGCATTCACTGGAAAAGTGGAAAGTAGAAACGAAAATGTAATTAGGACGCTTAAGAAATTAATTAATCCTGCCAGTTTGTTTTTGTCATGACAATGAATATTGTAATAATATGCGGCAGCATATGTACGAAAATATAAAAACGCGGACAAATCGATTAGTCTGTTAATTACACACGTTCCTGCGGTGCTGGGCGTCGAGTAAGTAGTCGTAAAATAACGCAACGGGTAAAAATCTATAAATTGGGCTGTTACATTTAATTGCGTGTTTTTATTTTCCCAACGTTTTGAGGATAAGTACGTGTTATTTCATGCATTTATTTTTCTAACAGTCGTTAAATGTCCATTTCTTAATTGATATGTTTAACAACATTTAAACAAGTTAATAAACCGTTATTATTAGTTAATAATTCGCTTTTTAACTTGTTTTTATTAATTCAAACCCA